TAAAAATACAGTGGAGCACTTCCTGTATTATCACCTAGGGTGAGTAATTGTTTTGTCTTTTGCCATGTCTCATTTCTCATTTATCAGAAACAGATAAAGAGCTGCAGTGTGTATTTTGTGTTATGGATTTAGCCGTTCTTATCAATTATAGCTGAATTTAAAATATATCAAATCTTTTGGTCTCTGTAAAGTATTTTCTCCGTGGTCTTCAGTGACAAAGGTGCTGACACATCTCTCCAGTCTCTGCTCAGGTCCATCATTTTCACAGCCTCGACTTCGGCAGCTGCAGTTTAACATTCCTCACATGTTTCGCCCTGTAGAATGAATCTATGCATTAATCTCAGGTAGCCAGGGCATTTTTACCTTATATCACCTGCACACCGAGCTAAATAGTATTCACCGTGCAATGTTTTATTCAGTGTGCGTCTTCTTTTATTAAAATGTAAAAGGAATTGCGTTGTCTTAGTGTCATAGATGTGCCGGTGTGTATTTGAGATAGTAAGGCGGTGGGCTATAACTTCCTCTGCACCATCCTCCTCTTCTAATTTTGTAAAGAAGACATTTTCCAATGCCTGCTGCTTAAGGTAAATAACAGAAGAGAAGAGCTATTCAAGGATCATGTTGCATAACCTCTAATGACACAGACACCTGAGAGGCATCCTAAAAAGGCCACGGGCTCTACAGCTTTCTTTAGCAAAGGAAAATACAGGTAAAAGGAAAAGTGCCTGTAATCACATAAAAGAAGACATTTTGGTATGGGCTCCATTCAAACTGTTATGGGAAATCTTAGTAATGTGAATATGGCTAAAAAGTCTTAGAATTTATGGTTTAGAAACCACACAAAAACCATAAACAAAATGAAGCTCCTGCAAACCACTTACAGCTCTGTATTATAGCGTTACAGTATTGAGCAGGAGGCACAAAGCATCCTCTTCCATGACACTTTCACACTTGTGGTGGGTAGAAACGAGAATAAAACCACCACAAAATGTGTTGCTAAGAATATTTCTTCACTGCAGTCTGTCAGTGATTGACACTGTCAGTTTGGGCAAATCAAATGTGAAGTCAAACTGAGAGATTTTCATTGCAAATCTGGTGTTCTTTTTAGGCACAAGTACAACACAGTATAAAGAAATAGTCAGAATCAAATGTTCATTACTTAGGTCTGATGGTTATGTGCTTTATTGTTGTTTTATTTAGGTTTTTTTCCCTATTACATTTTACTACAAAATAGAGATCAGCTGATATGGGTTTTGTCAAAGCTGATATCAATAATTTTACAACCAAGAGATTATTTTTTCCCAAATTATGTTATTTAATTTGACTAAAAACTCATCCACAGCCCCTTTTAACCACAAAGAGAGCAGTTCAAATAAAGCTTTACGCCTATTCTTTAGACAGCAGGTGGACCAAAACAAAATATTGATCTGGTGCTGGACATTGAAGTTAATACACTAAAGTATATCTATACTGGCTAACCAATATTGTATTATTAAAATTTTTTTTTGTTTGTTTGTTTTTTTGCACTGTGTTCTATATCAAAACAATATCGCCCCTGAAAAGAAATTACAAATTCTAATGTTATTTTCTAAGCCATCTGGACATAGCTCTCTCTAGCTCTCTCTGTATTCCTTAGAAAACTTCCACCCCCCACCCCCACCCCAACTCCAGCCCTGACACCATCATCTGGGGGTGAAAAGTTTGCTGCATGCAGGGAGGAAACTTTGCACCTGTTTCGTGGCCTTCACCTGCGTTAACCCCATCTGCTCCTCTCTCACCTGGACCGGTGCGCGGACTTAGCTTGTTTCCTGATCATGACCTCTCTCCTCTCCAATCTCACACCCAGCATGAACTTTGTCAGACGCATGTGTTTGGTTCTTTCACCTGCTCACAGCAAAGAGACCAGGTCCACACTTTTGCTTTAGCTTCTGCTGTACTTATACCTTGAGCCTACACTGTACTACATTATTTACAATAGGGCTGCTTCTCTGCTTCAGCCTGAATCACAACACACGCCACATAAAGCAAACAAATCATTATCAGCAAGAGGTAGGCAATGCAATTGTTAAGAATGAATATTGTGTTGAAAGTTTAACAAACAGAGTTGATTAAAAATATCAATTAAAACAAACTTAATAATAATAAAGTGATATTTTTCCATTTTTTAATAATAATTATATAATCCTTTCAGAGCTGTCTATAGTTAAACCTCAACTAATATATTCAAAGACACATTTTAGCTAATTTCTGTTGGACTCACAAAATATCTTCTCATGACCATTATCAGCATACAAAAAATGTAATATAGAGTTAATCCTTTTAGACTTTATCACCCACCCCATAGCCAATTCACATAACAAACAATTTCCATTAAATAACCATGGTGGAAATAGAAAATATGTATTACTCTTATGTCTGTGCTTCAAGCAAGCAAGTCGTAAACGCACAATGGCAGGTGATGCTTTTTATGGGATTTGAACCCAAGTTGCCCAAAGGAGCACTTTAGTATCTGAAATGAACCTCATGTTTACCTGTGGTGTGGTTTAGTTAATATTCTAAACTGCTCTAAAATGATGCATTGACACAACCATGGCATTCACCTGCTCTCTAAAGCTCTCATCACATGTCATAATGGTTTTGGCACAATCAACAAGAAACCACTCTGGACATTGGAGAAACAGGACTAGCTCACCTCACTTTCCATGTCCATTGTCTCTGTGATCCATGAGAGGAGAGGAACAGAAGTAACATTAAAATGAATGATAATTGCAGCAGGTCCCTGGTGACTGTAGTGTAGAGGAAGCACTCTGAAGGAGCTCTGCCCACATCCTGTTGTGAGAGATTCAAGCCTGAGCACAGACCACAGGGCAGCGGTCCAAAACACTAACACAATATTAGGTTTGTGTGGGTCTGTAAATATAAGCAGTCATCTATTCTGCTTTTATTTATACGTGTATATTTTTGTTTGGCCTTTTGAATGGTATATGGTTCTATTTGGCTCACAAAATCAACCATATATTCACCTCCACTATTAAAAAGTCACTAATACACAAGAGTGGACAAAAAGGAAACTATGGTGTGTATGAAAAAAACTGTCATGTGTGTTTTGTGTTTTCCCAGCAGGAGTCGTTTGAAGAGGATGCAGAAACAGAGTTACAGCAGCACCTACTGGTTGTATAAATAAATGCATGAATTGTTTGTTACTGCTGTTATGATCTTTGTTACAGTTTTATTCAATATCTTATCTATTATATTTTCATTTTAAAGGTGCACTATGTAACTTCTTGGGTGGAAGGTCTTCTACACCTGCTTGGCTCCATGGAGATGTTATTGCCTTACTTGGGATGTTCCAGAGGATAGCATTAAACTTGTCTACAGTCATAGAAACAAGCAGGCAACAGCTCCAAGCAAAGTTACAGGTCAGATCAGTAGAGAGCTGACCACACTTGCAGTAAGAATGCATGTTTTACAACGTCTGTAATTGAATAAATGCAAGGTTTAATGCCATATTGTGGAACATTCTGCAATAGCACAAAAATTGTCAACCAGCCCCAGGAAAGGTTTAATAGTATACCTTTAAACCAGAGTTAATTCAGCTCTATAACATTTGTATGGTGTTAGGCAGTGGTGTAAAATTAACAGATGGATACAAGTCTATACCTGCTGTGCCTTTTACTTTTAATATACATCCAGATGTGTCCTTGAGAAGAAAATTAAGCTTCATAGAAAAATCAAAGCATTAACCAAACTCCCACTCCTGTGTGCACAAAGGGCTTTAGTATGAACACAAAATATAATCCGTTTCTAAGAGTCAGAGGTACCATATACCATCTGGTGCTCTCAACGATCTTTTAATTTCCCCTGCTAAGCAAATAAATTGAAAGTGTGCAAAGATTATTATTGATTCTTAGGAGTTTCTTTGTGCTCTTAACAGACTCTCATTCAATTTACTGCAGCGCCTGACACCTCTGCACCTCATTTTACTACCTCTGATTTCATCTGTGCCCTCTTGTCCCATACGACTGCTTTGTGGACGTCAGAGGAGAAAGTAGAGTGAAGTCTGTGCCAGAATAGAAGATTGTGCATCATATTTTTACTATGGCTTGCTTCTTAAAAGTGTATAAGAAAAGTAAATTTGAGGTTTTATTTGAAGAGAGGAAGATACAATCGTCACTTTGAGCCTTGGCCTTGGACTTGTTTTGCATATGGCACAGTTATCACATAGGGTGATATGGGACTGAATAGAGCACAAAATGAATTTATGACTCTTTACAGCACAGTACAGCTGCTGCTATTTGAGATCAATATAACATACCAAATACTGTTTTCAATTGCAAAACACAAAAAAATTCTGCAACTTTCTTCAATATTTGCATCATTCTAAGGATAATACGTAAAAATAGGAGAGAGGTCCACCAAATGCCTGTCTCCATGGAGATATTGTGCTTGAATGTTTCACAGTATGGCATTAATAGTCACATGAATTTTTACTGCTCCATAATACCATAAAAAAACAGTCACTGTTACTGTGAGCAGGTTCACCTCTGCACAGATGTAGCTTGGGGCAGCACCTTGCCATGCCATGCTATGCACCATTTTAGACAAAGCAATAACATCTTCATGGAGACAGGCAGGTGGGGGACTCTCCATCAGAAAAGTTACATAGTGCATCTTTAAGTTTGGCTAACGTGCTGTATATACTTTGAGTGACTTACTTTTTACTTATTGCGTGTTGCGTGTCTTTATTAGAAATGCGTATTGTCTTACTATAGTCGTACCAGCTTCATGTTAAAAATGACACTTTGTTGTTTAACGCCCAATAGCCGCTCGTGAGAAAGTTAAATGCCCTAAACTTGTCTCCTCTCTGTTTTGCTTTGCCAAGTTGGGTGGGTAGTTTTATTGTGGGCGGGACTTGTCTATTTCCTCCAATCAGCGCGGGTTTTGGGTGAGTGACAGCTGTGAGTTGACCTGATGAGCGCAGTGTGATAAACTCGCTTCAATTAGCGGCGCAGTGTCACCGGTGCAGCTCAAAGCATAAACGCAGCGAGAGACAAAACCCCGCATTTCTCTAGCTTGGTTTACCGTGCATTGTTTTGAATAATTAATGATTTTAGCGCACACTTAGAACTTGTTTTGTAGTTTTTCTTGATTAGAAAAGTATGGAGTGGCGACAGCAGACAAGTTTGAGCTGTACAGACGCTTTCAACGAGGCTCAGCGCTGGATTGAGGTAAAAAGTTTCGACCTGCACTTAAACATTTCCGAGAATAGACTCTGCTTCTCTTGAAGGCTGAAATACGTGCAATTTACCTTATATAACTGACATCATACATTAACTTCAGACTGATGAACATTTTCATTTTCAATTTGCCTTTGCCAAATGAATAAATTGCAAGTTAGAAGTGAGAACTTAAATGTGTCTATTAAGATGAAATGTGGAAATGAAAGGGGATAATATACAGTATCTTGAAATATCAAGTCTCTATAGCTTGCTGCAGAAGATTCCTTTCCTTTTTGGACTCGATGGTTATTGGCCAGTATAGAGTATTTAGCTTTTGAAAACATTTCTGTCTAAGTAAGCCTTTAAGGACTTTTAAAAATTGTATTGGCAACATTAAAAGTCACAAATTTTTCATGTGATCATACAGTGTTCTCTGTTACAGCATATGTTTCTCACTTTCACTTGAGGGGAAACTCCGCTGACTTGCTCTTGACTAATCCTATGAGACTTTGATTCAAAAGTATTTGATTGCCACAATAGTTTGTAGGTGTACTTTGTAAGCCAGCCCTGTTTGTTGTGCTGGCCAGCTAAAGAGCCTCATACTACTTTACCATTTCAGCCTGGCTCTTCTATTCAATCAAAACCATCTCCAAACCAACACTATGATCACTGACTATGCACCTTTAGCTGTTTGTCACTCACTTGACTTCATCTATGTATGTATGGATGTATGGGTGGATGTGGTATAAAATTACCTAGTTTATTCAGATCCTGCCTCGCCAAACTCTGCCTACCCAAAATCTGCACTTCTTATTCAAAACCCATAAGTGCATCCTGTACAGTTTGAGCTGAAATGTTGTCGAGGCCTAAATTAGACCATTAATGTCAGTTTTGTCTGAGTGCAACAAAATGAGCAGATCCTTCTCAGCGTTTTCTTGGCAGGCGGCCCACACCAATTTTCCCCTCCCATTTTGGTCCAATGACAGATGAAAGTGTGGCTCAATGGCGATCTGTTTAGTATTATTGTGGCTGCACCTGTCGGGTTGGAAAACAAGCCCACTTTATTGTAAAAACGCTTCATTCGGACTTAATCACTCCTAATGTGGACCATAATGCTGTGTTGGAGCAATAATAATTTGTCACTTATTGTGCTGTAAGATGCTCCATATGTTTAAGTGTTCATAATTACCCACAGACTATCGGCAGTTGCTCTGAAATGTTTCCAGTGCTTGCAGATGCTTGATAAGAGCGGTATTCTATAATTAAGGGATCTTGTTTTTGCGCACACTCAGGAAATAGTTTTAAACATTTTTAGAAGTTGGACTTTATTGGCATAATAGAAGCTATTTATTATGACTGCTGAAACTTGAAGAGTAGGAAAGGGGCTCAAACTTAAACGTTTGAAGTGAAATATTGCGAATAAACAATAATAAATGGCAGAATGGACCAATAATTAGCCATAGAAGTTATTTATTCAACACTCTAAAGCTCAAATCTTATGCATAATTATGGCTACAATCTCCCCACCATTGTAAATGAAAATGTACATGCAGTAAATATTGAGCCCCAAAATATTGATCCAGCTATCATCATATATTCACCTTTATATTGTAAATATCGTGACAGGCCTAACTGCAAGATTCGTCACATCATCACCCACCTAACCTGAACGTTGTGTGGGTGTCAAGTGGGGGTCAGAGATTGTGCAGATTGGCAGCTTTACTACTGTCAGCTTACCCCAGGGCATCTGTCAACATCTGTGTCTGTACAAATTACAAGCTGTTTTCCTCCAGAGTATGGAAATGAATTGACAACAAGAAAGGCTGAAGATATTTTATTAATAATTCATTGATCAATGGTGTCTTCGTTGTGTAATTGTCTACAGCCTTAGAAAACATTTGCTAAGAAATTTGCTTTATTATTATTTTTTTTAATCTTGGCTGTGAATTTCAGTAATTACATCTTAGACCACATATTGCATACCAAAGTGATTCTTTTTAACAAATACAACATTTTTAGTGTTTTCCTCTTTTACTATTGTCACCAAACAAGAAAACATGTTGTGTTTTGACCACTACTTGCTTTGTATTGTTGTAACATGGCATCGTGATGTTTTGTCTCCGCCCTCGCCCAATGCCCTGTTCCTCCGCCATTAACGAATTGTGATTGTGGATTCCTGGGGGGACTAATTAGTGAGAAGAATAGCCTTTTGGGGCCCACTCTTAGTTATGGAGCTGAACCTTAATAGCCCCATTTTTTTGTGTGCTCATTACAAAGCTGCTAGCCCTGCTTCCCTTTGCCATGTGAAATAATCTGTTCGCTGGTTTATTTAGAGTTCAGGCAAAAAATAGCTTCTGAATTTTGAAAGCACATTCATTTTACTATATGTTGCTGTTTCACGGTTAAATTGGGTTAAAGAGCTAAAGAGAAAACACAGGATGTTCAAATAATTTAAATAATTTTGTGTTGCTAATGGTTTACCTGACAACTGAAATGTTTTTCATAATTTGCTGATTTTGACACTATACTAAAATATATATTTTAATGCTTTATTTCTTTTTCAGGAAGTAACTGAAAAATCTTTTGACTGCAATGACTTTCGAGCAGCCTTGGAAAACGGCGTCCTTCTTTGTGAGTAAGTAATGGAGCTGTCTCTCTAAATAATCTGTAATATATATATATATATATATTTTGAATGGATTTGTCACTTTTAAAAATGGCTTGAATTGTGCAGTTCTTCTAATTTGTTCAAGTAATAATTTCACTATGATTCACAGTTTGATCAATAAGTTAAAGCCTGGCATCATAAAGAGGGTGAATAGGCTGTCCACTCCTATTGCAGGCTTGGTAAGTAAACACAGCCATATTCTATTATTAAACCTAAAAAGGCAAATGATGTGCCAATCTCAAGTTCTGCAAACACAAATATTGCACCTGTGCCAGGAAGCCTTCTCCTTTGTGGTGGCTTCCTGTCTCACAGACAGACAGACCTTGTAACCACAATCAGATTAAATGTAACTAGGGCCAATAAAAGCTTTGCATCCTTTACCACTACAGACAAACATGCAAATGTCAACAACAGTATGTTGTTCACGATACTTATTCCTCATAATTATCATAAATTTTAGGGTCAATTATATGATCTGCTTCTGCTGTAATAACATTTGTATCAATATGCCCACTGTGGGAAATGGTGAAGTGAAACCAAAGCATTTTGGTACATGCAGTGTCTGTCGTGTCATGGCTTAAATATCTTAAGAGGCCACTATGTGTTCTAGGATCAAATTTGAACATTATAGACACCAGAATGTCACCACAGAGGAGTTTCATTGTGCTAAGTTAAATACTGGACTTCATTATTAGTCGTCTCTAGTACTAAATGTATCTAATGGCTGCATTCAACACTAACAACTGTGAACAGATGCACTGTGTAACTTTTCTGGAGAGGGGCCATGGAGATGTTAATGCTTTGGTTTAACTTGTCCACAGTCTGGTATTAAACTAATCTGTCTCACATTTATTCAACTACTGGTATTTTTATTGCCCATTCTTACTATGAGTGGGATCGCCTCTCCACAAATCTGACCTGTAATTTGTCTTGCAAGTCTCCATGGAGATTCATAAGTTTATGGCTATATTGTGAAACATTCTAGGCACATCTCCATGGAGATGAGCAGGTGACTGACCCTCCTGTTACACAGTGCACTTTTTATACTGCTCATATGGTTTTCAGTGTCCATATGAACAGTTCAAGATGGCTAAGCAGCTCAAAGCCCAACAGTCTGAGTCCCTGTAGTCTGTGGCTGCTGTAATCCGCTGCACTGCCTCTGTGTTTGATGTCTCTATGTGTGTGCTGCAGGATAATGTCAGTGTGTTCCTGAAAGCCTGTGGCAAACTGGGGCTGAACGAGTCCCAGCTCTTCCACCCCGGAGACCTGCAGGACCTGTCCACACGTGTCACACTTAAGTACTGCCCTTTTTGCTGAATTTTAATGTACAAACTGTTACAAACTGACTCTATGATCATCTGCCTTTTATAATTGGTGATCTTCTGTTGTGCTTTTGTAATGATTTTTCTGTCTGATATGCAGTCCCACACACAAAATGCATGTTGTGAAAAGTCTAGTTTAATCTAGTAGTTAAATCAGTTAAATTAAAACAAAAATGTAAATTTCTTAATTTATTAGGCAAATTGTTGAGATGAAAATTTGAAGACTAATCAAAGCTGAACATGATAAAAGAAATATTTTCAATTTTCAATGGACCATCTTCTAAATTTGTCAAAAGAAGAACCTTAACATTACCTGTAGTTTTTGTGTGGATATCACATTAACCAGTGTTGTGATATTGATAATCTTGTGATATAAAACCCTACACAGTATTATGGTTCCTTTGAACAAGTATTGACACTTCTAAGATTCCTCAGACCAGGTACATCCAGCAAGAGGTGGATTCAGCTTTCCAGACATATTGGCATTAGAGTTTGTCAGAAATGTTTAAATTATCTCATTTTCCTGCTTTAAATATGCCCTGATGAAAAATGCAAAATGACCTTTTAAAAATTATATACTATTATGCCCCATAGGTTTAGCCACTTCTAAATGGCACTGTAGGACTTATTAAAAGTACTTTGAAGGATTAGCACTAGGTAATGAATGTCAGAGTCGCTTTGCATTTCTAAATCTATGAGGCATGTCTGTCATAATGCAGCTTTTCACAAGCTGATGAGCGAATGGCCTCTTCTGTATAGATCACACACAGCGCTGTTAGATCACTTTATCCCACACACTGCACACTGTACGTAACTAGTAGAGCAGCACAAATGAAAACCCATAAAGATGAGTTTCAACACTGACTTACCTCCACAAATATGAGCCTAGTGTACTTCAAATGTTATGAATTGAAAGCCTTTCTTTACCAGTGATTTGTTTAACTGCATTACAGAAAAGATGAGAGCAGCAGGAGACTCAAAAATGTGAGTATCGGCACACTATGTGACCTATAATGCTAAACATTTAGAACTCAAAGCTTTTTAAGGCATTTCATACTTTGTCAGTAGCTGCCATTGCTAGCATGTCAATTTTAAAGGTGCCCTATGCAACTTTGCAGATGGGATGTCCACACATAATCTCCATGGAGACTGTATTTGTCTGTCAAATTCAATACTGCATTTGTTAAATTATGGGTGTTTTAATTGCTCAAAAATCACTTCAAAAGTATTTATTGTTATTGAAAGTGGGGTCCCTTCTCTACAGATCTGACCTGTAACTTGGCCTGCTGCGCTCCCCAAATTATCTGTGAACCATTTAACTTATTTATGGGTGATAATATAATAGTATGTATGTATTGCCAATTATGATGCATGTACTTTTCCTTGCTCAAGTGGGAATGAACTTGATGAACTTGATAAACAGTTTGTTTTTTGGCTGCGCATGTAGAGGACATGTGAGCACATATGCATGCTTGTATGCACCCGGGGTATGCCCAGTGCTCAGGAGTTTATCTATCAAGCTTCATTTGAATTGCACAAAGGCTGATAACATAGACAAAGTAATGAGGAGCCTTGGCAGAGCTGCCCTCTTCAGTGGAATGTGATGTATTTTTCAATGAATTATTCAATTAGGGTCAGTTTCATTTAAACCCAACGGTTTTCAAGTCAAACTGCAAACCTTTTATTCTCTGTATATTACCATATTACCAAGCATTACATAATTATAGTAGTTACAGTTTTTACTCTATTTTATCTCCATTATGTTTTTGGCTCAATTTTATTTCTATTTTCTCATTTAACCACAACCTCAGCAACATTTACCTTGATGTACAGAGGAGGGCAGCAGTGTGCCAACAGACAATGACCACAAGGCAATTGCAATAAGTGATAAATGTTTCTATTGAAATAATATTGGACAAAACAAGTCTAAGTAGTAATACTAGTCTTTCATTCTAGGTATTGTATTCAGTAACAGCCTTTATGTTGCATCTCACTTGGTACTTCCTTTATTCATTGTCAAGTTGAATATGATTTATTTAGTCAGTCTGGACTATTAGTCTTAAAGAATCAGTAATTTTTCGACAGCAGTAGAAACTCCCATTTCAGGACCTTGTGTTTTTACTTTTGTGAAATGGAAAACTTGTGGTACAGCGTTAATTAAAATGGCCATCATGTTTCCATTGTGATTCCGCTTTGCATTGAGCTATACAAAAGACGGCTGATTTTAATCTTTTTATATTCATACATTTTAAATATTGTGGCAATCAGAAAACCTGAAGTTTAATGCAGTAATTAAAACATTTTGTCTGTCTTTTTAGGTGCTAATAACCATCTACTGGCTGGGCAGAAAGGCTAATCAGGACCTGCTTTATGAAGGACCTCAACTGAACTTCAAGTCTTTTGAAGGACTGCTGGGACTTGCCTTATCTAGGGTAGACGAAACCATATTTCAAGTTGTTCCTTTTCCTTTGTTTGAGTTTGCTGATTGTTTTTAAACTTGTGTTTAAAAATGCAGGCCTTAGATGATTCCATAAGCTGTTACTACCAGGACAAGGAGGAGACCCAAACCAAGAGGTCAAGCTTCAAGAGACAGAGTTCATTGGACAGTGTGGACTCTCTGGATGCCAAGGCAACTACCACAAACAGTGAAGGTGTGATCCTTTTTAAACATTGCTTTAGGGTTCAAAAGTGAGCCTGGATGATTTTAGTTAGAAATGATCACATGTATTTTGATACTTCATATGATGGGTAATTAACAGCAAGACATTACCGATTATTTTATTTTGGAATTTAAAGGTGCACTGTGTAGCTTTTCTGGTGGAGGCTCCGTCAAATGTTCTTCTCCATGGAAATGTAATTGTGTTGTCTGAAATGTGTCACAATGTGGTTGCTGTCCATCATCATGGAGACCAAACCAGACAGAGTTACAGTTCAGATCTGTGGAGAAGCAGCCCTGTGGAAAATAAAATTCAAAATCTGATGAAGCAAATTAACTGCTCATATAATTTTTAACTCTGAAAAAACATGTTTAAATTTTTTTTATTCCAAATGTCAGTTGATGAAATTTTAAGAATACATGTTTAAAAACTCAAAAATAAATAAATAAATAAAAAAAATCACCTTTTACATATTCAACACATATTTTCAAGCTCTCGAATTAAGCAGTTGAAATTCAGAGTGTAAATTCACAGGGAAAAAATTGAAGCAAAGATCCAAGATGCCAAGGCCTAAGGAATCGATCATGTGTTACTGAGAAGGACAGACGCAGCTGTTTCTTAATCATAATTAATGTTAATGGAATCAACCCCTCCTAACTTCAAATTTGAATCTGAAATATGAATTTCAGATTATTTTCAGTGGCACTGGAGGCTATCATCCTACAGGGAATGTGAACTAAATTTCTCTGATTAGACAGTCTGTTAACTTCTGTTAACCCATCTATGTGGTGTAACTGGAGATATAGCTCCATCATAGTCTATGCCTGATATTACCTTTATCAGGACTGTATGTCCTGGGAACGGCAGAGGCCCTGTGCGTCCAAGTTCTAGGTGATAAAAACTCTGGGAGAGGGAGCAGGAGAGTGTTTGAGTGAGGGACCGGGTGGAGCAGGGGGGGAGTTGGAGTGAAAGATGGCTGGGAAGGCCTTTTGTGGTGAAACGGGCATGGTTTTGTATGGGGGAGAGTTCAACTTAGTTGATGCTAGAACTCTTGACTCTACTGTATTAGGTGTGAGAGGAGCCATCTTGATTCCTGATCTGACGAGGCTTTCTAAATGGTTGGGAAGGGTCATGTGTGAGGGTGGGGAGGACAAGAGTCCATTGATGGACCTCATACAACTCCACACAGTTTTTTTAAAGGTATTTCTGAACTATAAAACCACCAGTAATTGAATAAATGTAAGATAGAGCTGTTTAATGTCATACTGTGGAACATTTCAGGCAGAGCAAAGAAACATCCATAGAAACAAGCAGGGACTGACCCCCAACCAAAAAAGTTACATTGTGCACCCTTAATTAAAAAGACAAATGTGTAAAATTGACTTTTTAGAGCTTTAAACCATGTTATGTTTCTCAATGATGCATGTTTGTGTAATCTGTATACTCCTATATTCCACACATTCTGTTTATTTTCACTTTATTTTCTTAATCAGTGATACACAAGGATTTGTTTAAAAAACAATTTGTTTGCTAGCATGATCCACAGAGCATGGTCCAACAGAGTGGTGTTTTATTATGTTGAGGTTTATGGTGATGTCAGCTTCCATTTGGCACCATAATTTTCTAACACAATTAAGTTTCACATGAACACTGCAATTTTAAATATCCAAAATATAACCTATTTATCCATGATTACAACTATATGGCAGATAAAAGCAAAAGTGTGTAGTCTTTTAATGGTTCAAAATTAAACCGTTTTAAATTGTGTTTATAATGTAAATTGTTCCACCCACATAATCTTTATTTCATGGCTTTCCCTTCATCCAGCCATTTTTAATCCAGCGTTTCACACACTAAAGCCACGGATACAAACAATTCTCCCATAAATTTTGTTTGCTGAACTATAAGACGGCTCATCCTTTCCTTAAAGATTTTTCTGTTCTCAAGAGAGCCACTTGTTGCTGTCAAACTGAGAAAGTAAAGCTGTTTTTGCTTATTTTATTGTGTCATTTGTCTGGACTGTCATCTCTGGACGCGTGCATGTCAGTGATAAATGGATATTGGGGGGATATGTTTGTGTGTTGGGACAGGCACAGATGCTTGGCACAAATTTCCCCCTAGGCTTGGCTGCACACTCTCCCAGAAGAGTTTCCTATTTGTTAAATGGATGGTCCTGTTTCCGGATAATTCCTCCTTAACTTTTCACGGTTGAGCTCTCAACATGGCTAGTGTCTTTGGCACAGAATATAGGTGACTTCATGGAAATGGTAATCTTCTCTAAGGGCACATCACCTAATCTGACAAGAACTGTGATTAGATTTGCAATTCATTTTCAATTAAGAATCAGTTCAGTGTAATGTTTTAATTTATTTATTTTATTTTTTACAAGCTAATAATATAATAATGGCTAATAAAATAAACTTATGCATTCAAAACATGTTTGTAGATGCCTTAACTATCTGCAAATGGATGGATGTCAGTCTTGGACACATCTACAGCCTGTCTATTAAGGGTGGATTTCCTTCACTGCAGTTCTCCTTGGTTTCTTCTTTTCCCACTGGATTTTTTTTAGAGTTTTTTTTTTTTTCTTATTTTCCTTGTTTGCGGGTGTAAGGACAGGGGCTTGGTTATTGATTTTCTTGTTTCCTGTGAATATTGGATAATCGCTGTGTCTCTTATTTACCAATTACCATTTCACTGTTTGATTTTTCTAACTTGGTTAAATCAGTTTTGTTTCCAGGCAACTGCTATTTTGGCAAAAAAGAAAAAAATTGAGTCAATTTAAACTACAGGGTGCAGGTTCTTATCCAGGAGACGCTTAAATACAAGGAATCAGGTTTACTGTAGACAAAATTATATGGTTTAAAGAGGCCAGTTCAGTGGTTGATTCTGCTGTTCAATTGAAATTAATCACATTGCACATTTACTAATTTGTTTTTTTTGTGACAAGTTCAAACTACTAAAATCTATGCTGCTTCTCTCCTCCTCAAAGTCCTGCTCCTGTCATTTTATTATGTTTTTGTGTTTGATCTCCTCCAGGCTGTGGCAGTGATGCGGAGGCTGAGCAGGTGTTTAAGATGGAGACGTCTCAAACTTTAGCTCATTCAAACAGAGGGCATTTACCTGCTCCTCTACAGAAGGCCAAGCAAGCACGAGGAGAGAAGGGCTGCACCAGTCCAATGTCCAGGTTTGGCCCCAGCAATTTAGATTTCAAATGTCGTGCATGAGACTATAGTTTTGTGTAAATCCATTGGTTTTCAAATGACTGTTTAAAAATTGTTCTCATGTTATCAACCTTATACAAATTAAATCTACAAATCACATCTGAGAGTTAATATAGACTATTAAAGATGCTGGCTATCAAGGAGCCCTAGAAGACCGTCATATTTATGAGTGTAGTTTGTGTGAGTGGAGAGAATTCAGAGGATATGGATAAACTAAAAGCAGATGTTTCACTGTGGTGACCCGAAATTGAACAGCCAACAGGAATGAAGATGAACAACAAGATATTAAGAGTAAAAACCTTACTTTATGGAAGAGTCTGTGTTACCAAGAAATCAGAAGTCCTCCAAAATACTTTCAGTATCCATATAGTATTTAATTTATCCATCTTATCCCTCAAAGCTCATGTGCTGAAATACATGTTACATTTCTGTACATCTGCCTACATTTTTACAATTGTAAAATTTCTGATTGGTTAGAAGAAACTGAATGGGACTTGTATTCTTGGAGGACTATACATTGTGTAAAATAAGTTCTGGAATCTAAAATGTGAGGGCTTTTTCATATTATAGTGGGTCAATTATAATAAAAAGTAAGTTTCATTTTATTTTAGATGAATCTTGTGGTTTTTAGTATTTTTAATTTTAGATCTTGTGTATTTTTGTTTTTGTAGACCAGGTCAGATTCTGAGTAATCAAGAAATACCAGTTCAGGTGAATCCTGGCTGGATTTGGTAAGTCAGAGTTGGAGCTGACCGCTGCTGAGGGACTTTTTTTTGCTGACTTGAATATTGGCTTTGCTTCAGCTGCTTTTGCCATTTCCTTTAGATTAATCAGAAACCATAACTTGTACCATTAATAATCCTTGTGCAGACATGACGGGAGATTTCTAGACAGATGACAAAAATGTTTGTGATCACAGACTGGTTCTTGTCGTCAAAGAATGTCACTGTTTTGATAAAGCACCTGCTAAATGCTGCTGTAATTTATTAGAATGTCAGTCGTGACAGCTTCCATTGCCCAGAGCGGGGCTATTACTTCTTACAAGCTTTGGCTGATGTGTTATAGACAGCTACATCTGTTAGCATTTTCCACAGTGTTGCTTGTCTTGCATTCTGTCTTTGCTCACTCTTGGACTATGGCTCTGAGACACTGTTAATTATGTTTTTTTTTTTTTTTTTTTCTTCAGCTTCTTGTTTACATGCTTGTCGTGTTGCAAAGTGCTTTTAAAGCTTTTTTCAGTTCATCTGTCTCATTTTGTTATAATTGGGGCTGGGCAAATAATTATATTTTAATTAAGATTCAGTCATATGTAATTGTCAGTGATATGATATGGTCTTTTTTTTAAATCGAGAGAACTACAACCAATCCTTTGTCAGTAAAAGTGTGATGTTTGGAGCAGAATACAAACTTTGAGAATAGATGTAATTTAACACAAAAATAGCCCAAATTAAAGCCCGCTACATACTACAGTTAATTTTTTTTTTTTTTATCTTAAATGATTTTTAAACATGCAACAAAATGAGCAGACCATAGGCGTTAGGAGAATGAGATTACAAAAAAGTTGTGAATTTAAACTATACCACACCTTGCAAATTATTCTGTAGTGTGCGGGAGGTTTAAATCTGTCTTGTGTTTATGAAATCAATACTGAAAGTTCTTTATTTTGATAAGAAAAATTAAAAAGTATGATTTGCCATATTCCCCATCCCTATTTGTAATATTGTATCTTTTGTGATGCTGCTTTGTTTTTAACAGGAGCAAGTCTCTCTCTGATATCCCTATGGTCTACCCTGTGCGCAACATAAATGAGGAGACCACTATTTTGGATGAAACTCAAGAACCAGGCACAGCACAATATAAAAGGAAGAGCAGTGCTACAAAGGACACTGAGGCCCAATGGCACGAGGTCAGTGAAACTGCTCTCATTTGAAGCACTTTTTTTTTTTTAAGAGGCGCTCAGATCAGATGGGTGTAACTACCTTTTCAGGATTTGAATAAGTGGAAGAGCCGTCGCAGGGCGTCTCAGGACAGAGAGCATGTCATACACCAGACCCATGGAGCCAAGAGCACTTTTCACAAAACTATTACTCAAGGGGGACCAATGAAAAGGTTGGTCTAAAAATATGCTAAACTGTCATTGACATATTTCTCAATTTTGGCAACTTTCAACTTTGTTGGAAAAATATAACATAGGAATGAAAGGATGGAGAAAAGTGAAGACTAGATCCCACTCATTCCACTTTTTAATCCCAGAACCCCATATCGGACCATAAACAGAAACTCAATGTTTGTCTGTGTGACCTTGGTTCACACAGTGTCTTATCTATGTGCATTTTTGCAACTGAAGTGAGCCATTTTCACACCACATAACTAACTAGGACATTCAATAAATTTCCACTGTTTAAAAAATACACAAATAATATAATATATCACTAAGTTTAATTAAAATATGCATATGTATATTATGGATGACTAAAACAATTGGATTTAGTTGACAAGATTAGCCATGTTTGTGAACCTCAAGTAGCCTAAAACCCAAATTACTTGACTAAACCTGGCGTAAAACTAGTCATATTTGTTAAGACTAAAACTAAATTGACGGAATGTTAATTCAAGTAACACTTCTCAAATAATTTTAATACACTTCAATGATTTGACCGTGCTACTGTTAACTGTAATCTGACCCATCCTTCCCCCTCTTGTTCTCTCACCACTTTGTCTCATGTTTCATGTGTGCCCACTCTCCAGAGACCAGCCGTCACAGCACAGCCACAGCCCAGCCACCCACCCCTACCCTTCCACCTCACCAACCAAGTCCTCCAGGTCTAACCTCCGACCACACACCCGGGCACTGCTGGCTCGAAGCTACGCCACAGAGATGCCCTACAACTCTCCCACATCTTATTGTCCACAAACTTCAGGACACATTCAGGTGAGCTAAACTTTGATTGTATCTCTATGTAGTAAGTAGTAACAAATAGTGTCAGCGGTGTAATTCAGATTGTTGCTGTAGTTTGTAATGTGTATGCATCCATTTTAGTGGACGTTATAGCAGTTTTTTTGTTTTTTTGTTTTTTTATAAAAAGGACATTATGCAAAATTGACCAGTGTCATGTTAGAGTGGTGTTGCCTCATCAAAAACATACCCGGTGTTCTATTTTGTTTCATTCACACGTGATGGTATCATTGACATGATAGTTTTCAAGTTAACAGCTACCCTTTATCTTTAGTTCAGTAGAGATGGGCTGAAATTATCCAAATTAGTCTAGTGAAGGTCATGGAGTTTAAGATGGAGTGTATTCCATTTGAGAGAAGAACTCCGCCAAAATAAGCAGGATTTATGTAAATATAATATAAAATACTATATGTTTCCTATTGCACAAATTTGAATTTACCATGGAATCTGCTTTATAAGTGCAGGAATATCACTGTATACCCATGTTTGAAATTATATTCTACAAATTACTTTTTCTTTTGCTGCTTTTGGACAAATTGTATATAACATTAGACCATACTCGCTATTCAAATTTGTTGAACAACCAGATAATGTCCTGTGGATGAGATATTGTCTGTTAATTTTCCCTTATTTACTATTGGATCCACCATTGTTAACTAAGTTGTGTCAACATTTTGGGAAATCATTGTTTTCAGGGGCCAACAGTTGGAACCATGCCAGAACCTATTACAACCATCATGGACAAAGACAACCACATTGCTTCTCTGGCTTCAGTGGGAACAGTAGCCACTACCCCTTCTGTGGAGCAGCCCTTCAGCTCACAGACCCATGTCAAAAATGTACCTGCAATGTCCCAGAATATGACGGGAGAAAAGTGTGTACGCTCACCTGTTATGCCAAAGGAAATTACAAAATTAAACGCTGCTGCTAAAGATCTTACTATTGTTAGCCATACAGAAAAATTAAATGCCCCAGTCAAGACAACCCATAGTGAGAAGCAGGAAGTAAACGTGGAACCAATCAATGGCCCTGGTCTTGAAAAGTTCCTGTCCCGGGCTGGTACTTGGTCCGGTTCTGCGAGTCTCCCCCGTGGGTACCGCCGGTCTGAGGGCTCAAATCGCCTCTCTTCTGTGATCTCTGCCAGACCTTTTGGTACCAAACCATCCAAGGTGTCCTCACTCCCAAAACTTTACAATGTGAGTAAACCAGACTGCTTTTTATTTGCCAACCACAAGGTGTCAGTATTCCTGTTTTTTGCTTTAAGTACAGGGCATTAGACTTATACTTATTTGTGTTTTATTTATTGTTGTGCATCTCAAAATAACAAGTGTAAACCCCATTGGCTGTAATTTTCTCAACAGTTTGTGTTTACATCTGAACACTATATTTTCTATGATTGCAAGATGTTAAGTGCTTTGCCTTTTTGTACCTCAAGACTCAAATATACATATAAGTTAACTGCATAGCCTTTTAGACAATAACATAATTACATAAATCATGTAAATAATGATATAAATCCAAACCACTTTAATCTGTACCTCATGCTGCTTTTTGAATTTAAAATGCACCAAAAGGGAACATGGAAATGGTAAAAACCTTGAAAGCATATCCCTTTCCCCATAGAGAGGAACTGCAGTGTTTCAAAGCTTTAAAGTTGTAGAGAAGTACCACCTGGTGATTTTATTTTACAGACGCAGACTTAAAAAGCCTGACTAAACCGAAGTTAATGCTTAAAAGGTGCACAGGGATCCTCGGTGATGTAATGAGACCGTTCCTCTCTCTCTCTGTGTGACTGTGACTGTGTGTGTGTGTGTTTGTGCGCACAAGCTCAAGTTCCCTTTGTTTTCTTAGATAGATTTCTCATTAATTATAGATGGGGAGCTGCACTGTTGTAAGCTTTTGTTTGTTGTGTCAGCTGAATAAAGTATTTTGTGAACTATTAAAGTATATTTGATAATTTTGCCTTTCTCTGGTCTGGTCTAACTACTTTATTCAACCATTCTATGTTCATTTTCTAGGTAGATGACAATCAACTGAACTGGCTGTCGAATAATGAAAAAGAAGTCTCTCCACCTGTCACTACTTTGCTGAAAAGGCAGACAGCGACGGCTCATCTCAAAGGCCAGACTCCGGTCATGCAGACAGAGCACAGAGCACAACAGAAGGAGAACTGTGCTGTTCTCTCCAGTGTGGTTCAGAGCAGCGGGTACTACCCCCAGTCCCCCGTGCAGGACGGGCCCCAACACGGCAGTTCCACTCTTGGGAAGGAGTCCAGTGCTCCAGTGAATGTATGTGGTATTTGAGCACACAACTTTGTTAAAATAACTGAAACCTTAATACACTACTACATATCTTAATAAAACAACATCGGAAAACTAATAGAAAGTTTCATAATAAGCTCATAGCTCAACTTTCTGTATTTTTTCTGTGATGTTATAGGATTCTAGAGAGTCAAGTAATTTAGTTCCTTAGCTTCATTGGTGACTGAAGCTGAAGACTCATCAGTCAAAATTACACATTTCTAATCTTAATCATGCTATCATTTTCAGACAATAAAATAGACTGGACAAAGTGTACCCAAGCCCAATACATATAATATTTATAATATTCAGTTTTTATTTTTGTCTCAGTATGCTGTTTGAATTTATACAATATTGAAGGTCGCTAATGGTTTGCTACAATGTACAACATCTCTGAAGAGTTTGTCATAGAGCAGGGCATTATGGCCTAACATTTTTATCACTATTATATTAGATCTTACATTATAAAAACTACCGTTAAGAATTTGTGATAACAACATAAAGGCATCTTAAGTTCTGCTTCAACTCCTCACGTCTCATCTCTTCCATTATTGCAGTTTTTAGCCTCTGCAGAGACTCCACAGTGAGTCTTTAAGATGTTCTAAGTTTTAGCTGCAGCAATTATCCACAATCTGTCTGCCTCCCCAAACAACAGAACAGCTCACCAGTGACATGGTATGGCCTAGCCCTGGGTTTTCATTTGAGCTTATGATCTACAAAATGGGCCCAACACTCCAGTTTCCTTTTCTGCTACATATTCTTGTTCTGCAGTGGTCTAGAGTCTCTAGTTTCCACAGGAAGCAGAGACTCGAGGTGCTGGTGTCAGTTTAACAGATGCTTCTCTTCCAGGTGGATCACAGTGACATGAGAGTGTGCCTTACCCTCAGACCGAACAGCAGACAAGACTTTGGCTTTCAGACTCACTGGGACAGCACAGGGGCCAGGGTCACAGCCATTCAACCAGGTAAGTTAACTTTTGTAGGTAGGTTTTATTGCAGTTTCAGAGCTTCCGTCTCATTTATTTTGAAATATAATATTATAGTTGGCGGCAGGTTGTAGCTCGGTGAAACAGGCAAATTGGCTTTTACAAAAAAGAAAAAAATTGTTGCAGAGCGCTGTGTCCAGCCTAACAAAGGAGCTCATTATACCGATGGATGGGAGAAGAGCAAGGTGTCACAGTGCCAAACAAGAAATCTAGCCTCTATTGACACAAGCAATATTATACCTTGCAATCAACATAATTTTAAGTTTGTGCAAAATATTGACTAGTTGTAATACCGATAGTTTGAAAGGTATAAAGAATGAAAAATTGTAATATAAAGTATTGTGTAAAGGCAGATTTTCTACAAAGGCATTACCTCACAATTTCAAAATAAGACTATACATCTATTGAAACTATCCTTTTTGCATCCAACATTGCAAAAAATAAGTTAAGATTACTTTTTTAATTTTACAAGTAAAATGATCTACCAATGGAACAGGACTTTTGTATTAAAAATATGAAACACTTAGTTGAATTAGGCTAAACACACTTATTCCTCTGGTAGAGAATTGTACTTGTCAAGTTCAATCTACTCAAAGTAAAATGTTCTTTAAGTTATTTTAACTTGCCTACATATGCTTTTTGCCATGTATTCGCATTCGATCAATACTAATTATTTTGTGCTTGCCTTGATCCATGAGACTACAACACTGAGCTTCTCACTTTTCACTGTTCATTTTGGATGGTGTGTATCTGCTTTCCACAGGAAGTACTGCAGAACTTTGCCATCTTTGCATCAATGATGAGATTATTGCAGTTGATGGAGTATCTGTGTCTCAACTGAATTTCAACCAGTGGAAAAATAAAATGGCCTCCGCCCTGCAAACCGGCAGTTTGACCATGGATGTCCGACGCTACGGGAACAGAGGTAGGATTACACGTTTACAGCCCTGATTATTTCTGGTAGTACAACAGAAAATGTGTAAATGAAAAACTATCAATGGTGCAGAATTATGTTCAAATCTAGGACAGAACTTGAAACAATGTCTTTTTATTCCATATAAAGAGTTACAACTTAATATGCAGTTCCTCTGTGTGTTCATCACCTTAAATGTCTTAAAGCACCCCTGAGTAACTTTTAAGCAAAAAATAAATAAAATTAAAATTTTACAAAATAAAAACATGCATCCTTTCTCAGAGCGAGCGTGCATCTCCACAAACTGACTTATTTTGACCTGCTTATCTCTGTGGACATGTTGTTCCTTTAAATAAAAGTTCTATGTGTGGAGTTGCTCAAATCTTGGTGCTGATGATTTGTTATTTTCATTAGATTGGAGCACCAGTGAGGCCAGTTTTTACACTCAGCCAGGCCAGAACAGGAAGACCCTCGATTTGACCTCTTCAGCGCCCCTTCTGATTGGCCGACCCAATCACCATGCCAACACTGACACCACACTAATGGCCCTGTCCAAATTTAATGGGCAGCCCAACAATGTGAGCAATATTTAGACACAAACTATAACAAATGGCTGAAACGAGCCCTTGTCTCACCACGAGGCTCGATTATTTCTGTCTATTGGGTGAAATTTGGTTTTCTTGCACCTGACCAGGTTAATCTTTGTCAAAACATGGATGGAGAACATACTGACAATCCCTGGACAGCCACGAATAAAGGTAAAAGAAAATTGGCACAAATTTACCAATGATTTAAACAGTCTGGTGCTCCAGTCTCATATTAATCACAGTTCATTTTTATATAGATTATAATAATGTAATTAGGAAAAATCAAAGGAGGAGAGCAGCATTTTTCAGACAGAGAGGTAAACTAAGGGTATTGCAGCTTTGGTGGCAGGTGCTTGGCTAAAATTGCTTTGAAAATGAAACCTGGGAAAAGACAGTGATTTATAATATGTACATCACACTTTCTTCATATCTAAACAGGATTATTTTTGTTATTCAATACACGTTTAGAAAAGGATTGGTGCCATGCCAAAAAACACCAGTTTTGTAGATCATTATTTCAGTTTATTATAACTCATGCAGTTAGTATTTATTTTTTATTGCATAATTGGTCTTTTTTTTTTTTTTTTTTAAATTAGACCTATTATGTAAAAATAGAGAATGTTTGAGCAATGTTTAACCACTTATTTTCAACACTCCATATTGTACATGAATCCCCTTTTTCATCGCCTCTGGCATGACTGGTCATTTTTTTATTGCCCAACCTTTGTATTGAACAATCTTTTATTTTGGTGTGTGGTTGGCCCCAGGCTTGCCCTACTGGTATGCAATTGCAAAACTTTAAGAAACTGTTTAGACTTTTGTCTTTCAAGAACTTTAGTACCTTAAAACATGGTATGCAGTTGACTGGTTCTCCTTTTGAAGTGTACATTTGGAGTACTTTTCCACCGTGGGTACAGTTGCTCCTTGTGCTGCTGCTGTTGTGGGGCTGCACATAATAATGCCTGCACGGTGTTTGAAGTGCCCCCCTGTGGTGAATGTTGGTGGGACTTCCTCTGAACTGTCTTTTGTCTCTGGGTTCCGCAGGCTTCAGCTCTTGGGTGTACTTGTGCGGTAAATGTTTGCACTGTGTGAAGTGTGTTGTGTTCATTTAAAGGGGATGTCTGTGTGCACCATCACAAACAGCTGAACAAAGCAGATCTGTGTTCATCACACACTGTGAAATTGCCTTTTCTGACTTAATATGGCATGCTGCATGCCTTGCTCAAATGGGTCTTTCTCATTATTTTTGCTGCCATATCTTCAAGCTGGGTACACATTAGCAGACTGTTTTGCTCATTTGCACAATTATAATTAGATACTTAACTCTAATTAATGTGTGGGTCACCTTAGTTCTGTTCACCAAAGAAGGCAGAACATTTTCTTTTTAATCTGAAGCAAATGATCCCATGTCATCTTGACATTTTGTTTTTAGATAAACTGCCCTCCTTTATATTTTTATCCATTTCTCTCTTCTCCCACATAATCTAACTTTGGTCTTCCTGTGACATTGACTCACTTGTGCCTCTTGAATTTTATGTTTAAAATGTCCAACCTCCTCAAATCTTCAGATTCAAATGCCACAAAGTATTTCTGTATTCTAGTCTTTAAAAATGCAGACTTCTAAAAGTTGTTCTCTCTCAAAACGGACTCTGCAGTATATGTATTTCTATTCTTCTGATGGTTCCCCAGCATGGTGTGATAAAAGCATAGCACTAATAATTCAATACATTTATAAAAAGTGTTTTTAATTCGTTTTTCTTTTGCAGGAGGTTCTGAATCTGCAATATCAGATGTAAGTACTGGTCCATGCAGTCAAACTGAATGTTGTGAACCTGATTTTTACCTATATCTATTCATTCCCTTTCAGCTCCAGGTGCCATCCCTGAGCCCCTCCTCCAGCAGCTGGTCCTGGGACAGAGAGGAGGAGCGCAGGCGGCAGGAGAAGTGGCAGGAAGAGCAGGAGCGCCTCCTACAGGTACAATTCAGGATAACATTAGACTTGGAGGGGAAAATTACTTTAAAAATGTATGCTTGTTTGTTCAGTACTTTTTAATGATGTCTGGGTATTTGTCAGGAGAAATACCAGCGGGATCAGGAGCGGCTAGATCGGGAGTGGAAGAAAGCACAAGAGGATGCTTCAAGCGATAAAAAAGATGAGTCAAAAGTGAGTCTATTGGACAATGCAACCATAGCGACTTAAAGAATACAAGGAGAGATGGAGTAGTACAAAACGTATAACATTGTATTTTGTATGATGTTTCATAGCTGGTAACCAATGACGAAAACCTACAGAAGATGTGCCTCCATGTAAATGACATGACAAATAAGACCAGAGATGAAAACAGTCCTGCCACAAATGAAGTTAAGGCGACAGAAAGCTCCCCCTGCAAGGCAAAAGAAATTTCACTGGAAAAACCAAGTGACGAGTGGTATGTTTTTCATACTGAGTGCACTTTATGTGTGTTTGCCCATGTGTGCGGTTTCTGAGTGAATTGCTATGTTGGGAATCATTGCTGCTGGTGCCTCCTCAGGGCCGACGGCTCCCATGGCTTTGCTCAGCTCTCTCCCGCTCACAGGTCAGAACAGGCTCAGCGCAGTTATTGCAATTTTCCCCCTTCATATTACTCTGGCATTCCACTACTAACTCTAGCTTTTGCTGTAGACGAGTGTGTATTGGTAGCTGATTTCCTACATAGATTGTAGATTTAAAGCTAGTAGTTTCATAGTTAGATTTCACTGACAAGTGCCCACATATATCATAGTTAAAGGTGCACTATGTAACTTTTCTCGTGTAAGGTCTTCCATTTGTGTGTCTTCAGGAAGATGTTCCTTTGTCTGGAATGTCCTGGTATGGGATTAAACGTGTCCATCTTGCATTTACTCAACAACCTGGGCTTTTACTGACTTACAAAAACTTGCCTGCTTACTGTGATTGTAGAGATATGTCAGATCTGTGGACAGGCAAGCCCAGAGACAGCAAGTGGCGCACAGAGCTGAGTGTAAAGCCATACTGTGGGACGTTCCAGACAACAACTTCATGGAGAGAAGTTACACAGTGCACCTTTTAACAGTCTCAAATGGTCTCTGATAAAACCATTATCATTCCTGGACATGTTGTACCTTGGAATCTGCAATTCAGTGGTTAAATTAATCACTGAATGGTGTGTTGTTTTTTTCCCATACATAATCATTGCATGTAGGACAGTATACAGTATTCATAGAAATTGATGCAAGTACATTTTTTATTCATCTGTTGCCCACTCTAATTTATTGAGGTATGGCTGTAAGTGTGTGGCCTCTTGAGAAATGTTCAGTGTATAAATATATAATAAATTAATCAAATCAATGCAAGCATAGGTCACTGTTGTCAAATAATGCTAAGGTCTTGTTTGATGCCGTAGGGCCAAGTCCATGTCCACACCAGCGCTAACAAGCCAGCAGAAACAAATCAGAGGCAAGTCTGATTCTTCTGTCATGATTATTTTGTATTTTATTTTAAAGGTCCTGTAGTTTTTGCTTTATTTACTCTTTTGAGCTTTAAGCCATGTTATAATGTTGTTGCTTTATCAAAAACATACATGGAGTTGTGTTTTGCTTCATTCACTCATGTTTGAGTAATTCTTTGAGTAACTCAATGCTCTGTTCCACCTTGTGATGGCATGAAACAGTATTTTTCAAGCTACGTTTTGCCTTCAGTTCAGTAGAGCTTGGCAGGGCTGAAATCATCCAAACAATTCAATTGAAGGTGTATGGAGTTTAAAAACACAGGGGAGCACTTCCTGCATTGCCACATGACACAAAGGTGGAACAGTGTTTTCTGTCTGAGAGAAGAACTCAGCGTAAATATGCAGGTTTGGTGTGTTAAACATGTGAATGAAACAAAACACAACTGTAGGTATGTTTGTGATGAGGAAACGTAACATAAATCAGAAAATGGCATTCTATGGGCCCTTTTAATGAACTGTGAAATCTAAATGTCAAACTATTCCAGGGCCCGGTGACCAGAGGAAAAGGAAAAGCCAGAGCCAGACAGTGTCAAAGATTGAGCAAGAGCGGCTGCAGATTTTGGAGGAAATGAAGAAGAGGACTCAGCTCCTCACAGACAACAGTTGGATACGCCAGCGGCGTGCCAGTTTTTACAAAGAGCCCATCACGCCCGGGGACCCAATCAAGAGGTTAGATGACATGATGTTTTTAGTGTTTTTTTCATGTTTGATTCAGAATGATTTTTTAGTTTTAGACCTGGTGTAGCTCTGAGTTTACGGTGTTTTGAGTTGACCCTGTCATAACCTTCACAACACCTTTTTGCTGTTAAATCCTAGTATTTTTAAGTAGAATAACTAAATCAAAACATGAGGGGAAAAAATACACCTAAAATAATGCTTTTTTGTGTGAATATGACTATTTGTCTGAAATGATTAACCAATATTATCAAAATATTTGCAATTTTGACAATTAAATTGTTAAATAATTTTAAATTCAGCTCCTATTACACTATTTTCTGATCTGTTATATCATTTCCTCATCTTAAACTTAACTGGAGTTTTGTCATTCACACATGTTTAACACACAAACACTGCATATTTAGGCTGAGTTCTTCTTTCAAACAGAAAATACTCTGTTCCAACTTGTGATGTGGTAATGAAGGAAGTGCTCCACTCTGTTTTTAAACTCCAGTTTCATTAGAATGATAATCATTTGGATAATTTGCCAGTTTCTACTGAATAATGGTAAAAGGATTTATTCTTTGGAGATGTAGATGGACTGATGATAAAGGCTTACTCAAAATACAAAAAACTCCAGGTATGTTTTTGATGAGGTAACACCATTATAACATGGATTAAAGCTACAAGAGTCAGTGTTGCGTAATATGGGACCTTTTTTAAATCAATTTTATATGTAGGTATGAGTCTATGGACCACCTTGAGAGCTGGCGCCACTCTCCCGTTGCTTCGATGGCCTTAACTCACCCCCGGCCACAGTCCGCCGCTGCAGGATACTGTGGATCCTCCAGGACCTCCTCTGCACGCCACAGCACTGGGTCCATGCCTCCACAGAGAAGCAGGTACTGTTTTTGATGTACAGTACATACAAGTGAGCTGGGCAAAGGTGGGTAGAATAGATAGAAATCCTCTAATAGGATTAAATAAACTAAATTAACACGCAATTAATATTACCCCAGGAGTCATTTCTTCGACCAGTACTTTGTACTTCTAAAGTACTTTTTCCACTCCTAAGAGTAATTGACTGGATATAAAATCTCATTTGGAATTTGAAGTTGATGTGCATTATTAAATGTTTTGTACAATTAAGATCTGGTATATTCAAAGAATATGACAAAAAACAAACTAATATTTTAAGCCTTAAGTAGACAATGTTAAGTCACTTGTAGACTGACTCACAGTGGAAAAAGTAACCAAAACTTTTACTCAAGAGCACTGGAACTTCAATAAAAATATTACCCAAATAGGAGTGAAAGTACCATTCCTTTCATTAAGTACAATTACATTTCAAGTAAACACAAACTGACTAAATGTGAGTAGTACCCCCCTCTGGACCTGCCCTCTGTATGTGATGTGTCTGTTTTCTCCGTGTGTGTGTGTGTGTTGGCCTGATCTAATCCTGTGCTGCCCCAGGACTGAGGCGGGCTTGAGGACATGCTGTGTGTGTGAGGGGGTCCTTGATAGTGGGGCTGCTATGGTCATACAGGCTCTTAGTCTGAGCTTCCACCTCTCGTGTTTCCAGGTGAGAGGTTAAAACCCCTGTAGCTTTGATTTTAGTTTGGGTCACACTCACTCCTTTGTCATTTTGTATGTTTTCTTGTTCACTGGGGAAGACACTACTGGTGCATTTAAAGTCTAATTTCTGGTTTGTGGAGGTCATGGTTTGCTATTAGAGGCCTGTTGTGAAAGTCTCACCTCTGGGGCACTGCGTGGTGACGTGGCTTTGTTTCATTAGCACAAGCATGGAAAATGGGCGTCTGGCACTCGCTGTGAAACACCATCTGAATAGTTCAATAGTTTAATTGACTGTCCTTACCAATTCAACAAGTTTTATCATAAAGCTGGTTTCCCATTGATGCAAATAGTGTACTGTAGTCATAAAAAGGGATAAAACTCAAACGATCTGATCCTGTGACATTCTGATATTTTAGTGATTTTAATTGAGATTCAGTATATAGCTCTGAGCTCAAACACAGGCACTTTTCTGAGCCACTCCGCCTCTTGGAGCACCTCTGTCCTGCTCTGAGTGACTGACAGGTAGAAGTAATCAAGTGTGAACTCTTGACATGTAGAGCCACCAGCTTTGTGATGAAGAAATCATGGAAATCATAGGGGCTCCTCTAATCCACCTTCACTGGGCCTTATAAATCAGTCCAGATTAAATAATCTTAAACTATTTTTGTTTGGATTGTGCAGTGCGTGGGCTGTTACCGAGATCTCCGAGGAACAGAGGCAGGAGTCCAGGTCCGGATCCACAAACACAGGCCCTATTGTGAGTCCTGCTATTTCAGCCTCAAATGTGAGTAATGAATTAGTTCAATTAATATACTCCGCACATATGTAGATGCTTCTTTTACCAATGACAAGAGTTTGTATTATACTAAAATCATTTGTAATTGTCTGTTATAGCCACTGGCAGTGCCTTGTTGTGATCAAAACACAGCTCTGCATATCACTGAATAACCAGTCCACCTGCAAACGTCATCCAACAGTGTACTAATGCCCATGAAGCTCTACGAGTGCATTTGTTATCTAAATTATTTTAAACTGTAGTTTTAAATGTATTAAATAATATGAACTAGACCTAATGTATCTGTTTCTTTTATGATTTTTGTGTTGTGTTGTGTAATTGTAAGTATAGTTCAGCTATTAGTTACTGTTTGGTAGGAATCTTTCTTTTCTTCAGGGGTGCATGTGGGTGACACAGATTTTACACAAACTTAGGTCTACTTATTGTGACCCTTATGTACAATGCACTAAACCTTTAAGAATCTTTTGACTTTTATTGTTCTACCACTTGGTGTCACCATTGGACTCTTGGTAAAGTTAGCCGTCCTCTTTGCAGTGACTCTGTGGTGTTTGCAAAAATATTTTAAAGATGACACCATAATTTTTCTGAAAACCCATTGTTTTAAATTGCCAAACATTTAATTATAAACTAAATAGACCAAGAACATTTGTGTCAAAGCCTTTGGAGTTTGTAACTTTAAATCTCCTTGTGAATATTTTAAAATTATTTTTAACAACAAAAGTTTTAGAAAGTGAAGTGAAACATGTGCTGTATGTTCAATGTTTAGTGACTGCACAAATAAAGATTACTGTACTATACAGGCTTGTGTTCATTTTGCTCTGCCTTATCTGCTTTGATAACAGAAGTTTAATCAGTTTTATCAGAAAGTTTGCCTTTCTGCTTCATGACTAATGCTGCTATTGAATAGAACCATTTTAGGTGAACAGCTGCTTCTGTTATCAAATATTGCGAGAATACACCTACATTTAACTTCAAAACAAATGCTAGCATGCGTGTACTTTTTATTTCATGTTTTACTATGCACATTATGGACACTCATACACTGCAAAGCCCTTAATGTGTTTATATGTATAGTTAGATTTTTGGATAGCAGATATTGCAGTACTGTACCGTTCATATAGTTTTCTTGCTAATTTTTAAAATATGAAATTGCAGATTTTCATTGGATTATACAGTAGGTAATTGCAGTATGAACTGGATGAGGATAGTGCAGCTTGAATGCACTTCATTTCTAATATATTGTTTGATCTCTTTGATATTCAGTGTGCTACTTGTTGGTACATGGTGAAGTGAGTGTTGTAATGCTCAGAGGGGAAGGGATTTCAGCCTGTGCCAATGAGGAAGTGCCCTTTCAAAATCTGTCAAACGTAAAGTTACTGTTGTAAATTTACATTTAACCAAAACAAAACAAACTACGAGCAGCAGGAGGCTTGTTACTTTGGTTTATTGGGCTTTAAAAATGTCCAATTCTTAGTGACTGCAGCTTTAGTGCAGTTTATTGATGTAGTACAAGGTTACATAAGGAATTTACTTTTACCTTGGTAACACTGTTTTCTACAAAGTGCTTGGCCAGTTCAAATGGCCTAAAGCCTGAAGCTGGGTGGTGGTTTTAAATGTTTTGTACATTGTAGGCCTACATGAGTTGTACTGTATTGGATGTCAAGTTTGCATGTAAGTTTTTGTTATTGTGAATGTTTGATTAGGCGACACTTCTTCCTTCTGGGAATGCTTTAGTTAGTCAAATTAAACTTTAGTAGATCAGTTTAACTGTATGTTGTATGAATCACAGTTGTGAGAATTGTTAATGGCTTTTTTTGTTTGTTTTTTAATTGGAATGCATTTTGTCCCTAATCACTACATGTTTAATCAAACTTTGGCCTGGTCAGTTACTTAATTTCCCCAAAGGGCCAAAGTATAGACATTTTCACTTCCTGATGTGCCCCATCTGTTTTCAGGATTACTCTCACTGGCTGTCAGTTAACAGTTACAGAATTAGATTAGGGATGGAGGATTCTCTTAAACATTAATCACTTGAATTCTCCTACAGAGTTGAAAGATTAACTTACAGTGGGCTGGTGTGTTTATATAGTAATTTGTTAATGCCTCTCTAAGGACATTGGCTCTTTACAGCAGAACTTTATCATCTATGCACTATTTAAACAACATTAAATTGTACAGTTGTCTGGATGAAACAGCCTTTCACATTGTAGCTAAATAGTTGAGAGGACATTTAAAACCAGGATTGGAAACATCTGGACCAGGGAGGCTCACTATAAACTTCTAGACATTGATTTATTGGTCTGGAGTTTTTGGTGTTTTTGCTATGGAAGATTTTAATTGAAACTGCAAAATAAGATGACTTTCTCTTTGTCAGTGGAAAATCATGACCTGACAAAAAAATGTATGGTTTCTTACGTAGGGTACTGGAAACCACCCGACTTTGTGTTTATTGGTTTTCTTTCATGGGAAAATGTGAAGATGCCCCAAAGCAGTTGTTGACAGAACTATTTAAAACTGTCCACTCTGCTCTGTGTTGACAAAATAACTCAAATGTTGATTCTATTCTGTTCAGAATTAAAACAAATCTGCTCCATCTACTACTATAATGAGAACTAAACCTGCAATCACTTCTACTACCACTGTAATTGTTACTACAGCTACTATCCATTCTGCTGAGAAAGCAAATACTTTTTCTTTCAAAATTTGCATATCTTTTTTTTTTTTAGTTTACTCCACTTGCGATGCTGCACGGGTGAATTTATTACTCTATTCTGTGAAGTTTCACCTAAGTGAATTCAAATATGATTCGTGTTTAAAATGAGTCCAGTCCATCAGTTCATTTGTTTGCATTATGCTGTTTTATGTCTGAGTGACACAGGAAGTAGTGAGGAAGACATGGGAGGGTCTGATACGTGCCAGTGTCATCTCTACAGCTGTGACAGAGTCCAGAGGCCCCAAGGACGGACAGACAAACCACAGAATACACAGGAGCCTGAGTCTGCTCAAGCCCTTATCTACAAACAGGAAGACACCTTATAGGGCTTTATTATTGTGTAAACATGAACCAACCAGTCATGCAGGGTCACAAACTCAGAAATTCACTAGGTTATGTTTGAATAGAAGTAATGTTTACAAATGGCAATATCCATGTGAAACCCGTACACTACCACTGACAATAATGGTTTACTTAATATTGTGTCTGTTTATTTAAGCAGACCCATTGAGATTACATAATCTTTCAAGTGAGACTTGGCCAAAACAGCAGCACAGATCATAAAAACATGTGTTCATTCCATGTCACTGATGTTGGCCTTGTCATTACGGCTCTGTAAACGGATGCTTAATCTTCGTCTTTCAGCTCTTAACATTGGACAGGCTGTTTGTCTAAACATGCATTGATGTTATCATAATAATCACAAGAGTTTTACCTAAAAGGACCCATACTAGGCCAGTTTCTGTTTTATATTATGTTATTTCGTCATCAAACACATACTCAGAGTTGTTTTGTTTTTCACACATTTAACACAAACCCTGTATATTAAGATTGTGCTCTTCTTTCACTGTAATGTGGTAATATAAATAACAGGAAGTGCTCCACTGTGTTTTTAAACTCCATACATCTTCACTAGAATTATTTGGATAATTTCAGACTTGGAATTGCCAATCTCCTCTGAACTAAAGGCAAAAGATTCCTGTTAACTTGAAAACCACCACTATGTGACATCACAAGGTGGAAAAGAGCATTTTGAGCTTTGGTGAAGTAGAAAGACTAATAATAAAATGTGTGAATGAAACATAACACAACCCCAGTTATGTTTCTGAGGAAGTAAGAATATTTTAACATGGTTTAAAGCTCACGAGAATTCATTTTGTTTAATATAGGACCTTTGAAAGTGACCTACTGGATAAAGTTATTTTAGTTTCAAGTTTTATGTAAATTATTCAAGATGTAGGATATTGAAATACTTACATTTGTCCTGTAATACATCTCTCCAAGACCTCCAAATCACTCACAGAGATTAAAGAGCTTAATTGATTCAACTTAAATTATGACCATTTTATAACATTTTTCAGATAAGAAAAGGTATACTAATTGTTAATGGGTAATACATCTGTTAGTTCACATTTTGCTGATTGTAAATGTTATGAATGTTGACAGGAGGCCTTTGTAGGAGCAGGATCGTCCTCTCTGTTCTCTGTAGGGGTCTGATGCTGCACACATCCTCTCTTTGCTCAGCGTGTGGAGAGCTGCTGGGGCTCAGGAGGAGGCTGAGCTCAGGACTGTGGTCAGTAATGGATCTGACCATCAAAGAGAATAGCTCTGTGCTCATGGTTTTATTCATAGAGTTCAGCCTCCCGTTTATAAGCGACATTTTGAGGACTTTTCACCATTCAATAGGTAGTACAGCTATCATATTTCCTTTTTTCACATCACTCTGGCAAAGCTGGGGAGTTTGTGTGATTACATTTCAAACAGTTTTTCTTTCTGTTCTCCAAATATAAACTCGTGAATGCATTTGTTTTTAATTAATATGAAGATGTATAGAAACTAAATAAGGACAATATTTGACTGCAATATATGTGTGTAGGCTATAGAAATTTGATGTTTTCTTAACGGCAAATTTAACATCTCACTCAGTGGGTGAATAGATTTAAACAGTATTATTAAAACAGTATCTTCACAGTGTCTGTCAGAGCTGGTTATAAAAATAGGTGGTAGATCGGAGGTTGTTTCACATCCCTTTGTCGCTACCGAGAATGTATTTTTTTACACCTCGACTCCACACAGACACAGCTTAGCTTCATTATGTGCTGTTTTATACGTGAGTGTACAGTGGGATGTGTCTATTGAAAATTCACAGAACCAAAATAATGACAGACTTGGAGGTCACGGTAATGTGTGGTAAAATGTGAAAGATTTAGCACTTTAAGGCTGCAATATGAGGCTGTGATATCTCCAAATTAGTTCATTTGGATCACATCTTCAACCCCCTGTAGCTCAATGGAAGTCTTTGTCCAATTTTATGACTTAAGACTCAGAGCAGTCCAAGGCAGCATGAACCAAGCAAATGTTCTGAGGTGTTTGGTCACCACACACACAGGCACCACACAACCGAAGGTGTGAGTGCACTACTGTGGAAGACTGTAGCTTCAAAAATATAAAGAAATAAAAATCATTACATATCAAAGGTTAAGCAAAATGAAAAGTGTATGGTGCTATCAGTATGTTAAAAATGACAACAAAATTTCAAAGTGATATGACATGGCTACTCCTGAAATGTATTGATTCCTTTATTGTTAAATAATAATAATAATAAGAATAATTAAAAAAAAAAAACAAAAACAAAAAAAAACCCAAAAACTCCTAGCTACTCCCTCTGATGCACACAGACAAGAGAGCATTGTGAAGCCAAGCCATACTTCATATAAAAAGACATGTTTATGGCAGGGAATTATTTAGCACACTGCTAGCTGTTGGAAAAAAAGCTATTTTTAGTCTTGAAGTGCTTCAAAGTCATAAACAACAGACATTTCACAGACGTGTAACTAAGATAGTGACATACTAAATATTATACATGAATTTTACACTTGTACATTAAAATACAATACGTTTTGATCGAGATAGAGCCAAGAAGAGGAAGCAACTGTCTGCTGTCTGTGTAGTGTCCGTCCTGTGACCAAATCATGTGACAAAGGGACCTCCTCCTCAAAAACACTTTGGTGTAAATTTATATGTTCATTTTTGTACAAAGGCTTTTTGTGCTTTGACAATAAACTATTGCATTAAGATCAAATGCACATATTATTTTTCAACAAAGACAGTCTTGTGAAAAATATAACATTACATAGAACTTAATCTAAACCGTAATTTAAAATAAGCGCTCTTTAGTAAAATAAGATGGTGCAGCAGTCTGTTGCTCACACATGCACAAACAAGCACCCACACAACATACAAAAGACATAAAGAATATCATATAAATGACGCTGTTTTCATGTATGTGACCAGGAATCAGAGACACGCAATTGCAGCCATGCTTTCCAATAGAAGTAACATTAGTGCAGTGTAAGTGTAGTCATTCTTAAGCCATTCTTCAGCATAGTATAAACACATGAGTGATGTAAAAAATGAAAGGAGCATTTTATCTATATGTAGCATTTTGGTTTGGATTGCATGGTGGGTCAGACCTCAGTCGTTCTGGTCCAGATGGCTGTGGCTCTTGTCTCCTCTGTGCCAGAGTCTATCTCTGAGGCTCTTGTAGCAGAAGTGTGTGGGAGGCTGCGTTTGCACCGACACACATGTATTTGGAATTATTTTTCTCCTACAGTGGAACTGACCACTCTTTCACACATTTGCATTCAAGGAGACACTCACTCGTCCTACACAAACCTTATATGTCTCAAATGCGTCTTGGACTTATGCCTCAGGACGCTACTAAGAAAATACCTCCCTCCCACCACAGAATCATACTTGCCATTGGAAAAAACTGGGCATATTATTATACTGTGACATTTTAGTGCCAGTTTTCAAATTCAGTGTGATTGTTGTCAGGTAAAAAGACTTCAAGGCATAAGGTTAATATTTCAAGTTTGTAGAGCTAATTTGTTATTATTGACCAGTTTCAATGTTTCTGAATTTCATTAAAAATGCCTTACTATGAAACATTCCATGCGAAGCAATCACATCTCCATGGAGACAAGGTGGCCCCATTAAGTTACATTTAAGATAAAAACATAATCCTTGATATCTTTGGTTACAAGTGGATGCCATTTCTGAATTCCCAGAAAGACAGCTTGTGTTATGACAGATGTTGGTCACCATTAGAGAAACATGTGACTCAAAGCTGGTCCCTGTTGTGACAAAGCTTTGCTCTTTCTGTGGTAATCCACTAATCTCTTGTCCATGGCTGTTTTATACATGTACAGAATCATATATATAAAAATATGCATTGTACTACTATCCATGAATTATGCATGTTCAAAAAGTGTCACTTTTGCTTTCTGGTGTCAAACATAGCAGAAGAAGAAAAATATAGACACATAATGCATCAGTGTGAACTTTATTTGAATAATTTTGATTTTCATCAAACTGAAATTTCATGACATAACATACAAAATTCTGGTGGTATGTGCTTTTTCAGTAAATGTTGATGCATAGTTAAAGCTCAAGAGGAACATTAAGACATCTGGCTATTGATGGGTTTCAACTTCCTATTTATATATGCGACATTTTGATGACATTTCACCATTCAGAATTTATAATATACCACCGTATAATAATACGGCCCTATCCTCCTGACATGATTTATGATAAGGAAATATTTACCGTGCAAATGTCATAAAGAAGACTCAAACATGATAATGTCGTCCCTGCCATCCACAGTTAAGTCGTAGTGAAAGAAATAAAGCCATAAAGCAGGAAGCCAACACGGCAGTAAAACACAGTGACAGAGCCGCGCAAACAGAACTGACCCCGCTCGCCCTGAACGTCAACCAGAGCTTGTGTGCGGGATGAGTCCTCGTTTAGAAATGAGGAAGTAAACTAAAAGAGAACTTCATGTCCAAGTATGCAACTACAAAACACGGAAAACGCATCTGCTGTCAGTGCTAATAGAGCTGATTCTTTAAAAATGATGTGTTAAACTATGCCCATATTTTATGCGCACTTTTACGCACTACACATTTTACACATTTCATCGGCTGAAAACATACTCTGTGTAACTGGTCCACAGTTTGTCCTCCCCGGGGTCGTTGCTGCCGTACGAACAGGTCCCGGTGGAGTTACATGCCACCATGTGGAAGCCCGCCTCCGCCAACCTGTCAAAGGCCTGCTCCAGAAAGTTGTACTTGAGGTAGTACCTGGACGTGTACCTATCAGGAGGGCGATCGGGGTCTCGGCTCTCATTCAGCGTGTCACCAAACACTTCTTTGGCCAGGGAGATCTTGCTGCATACGGTTATTCTAGCTACTCTGCGGAACTTGGCGTCGGCCTGGATGTCTCTTCCGATGGTGTAGCTGCCCCTGTATCCAACAGTGATGTATCCGGCGCAGGCCCCCGGGGAGCGTGACCCTCTGTCCGAGGATGAAGTGACTGGACTGAGCTCTGACTCCTCGGCCTCCCCACTGTCCTCTGCGGATGAGTTATCCTTACTGGTTGTATCAAGGAGCCTAGACAGCGCTGGCAACTGGTAATAGTCCGCTTCTTTCAGCAGTCTCCTCCGTTCTTTGAAAAACTCTGGCAGAATAAGGTCAGAGTCGCGCAAGTAATCCAAAATGTAGCGGAACAGAAAACCGTCGCGGTCGAAGAAGAAGCGGCCCTTGCTGTCTTTTGGCAGGTCGCCCGGGGAGCTCTGCGTAAACTTGGTCCAAAGTAAGGAGTTTGGCACCGCTCTCAAAGTCTCCAGCCGGGTCACGTAGACCTGTCCACCCACGTTCAGCTCCACAACGTCACTGAAGGTTTTCGCCTCGGTCTGTGCCATGGTTCTTCAATTGAAGTTGTTGAGAACTAGATTAAGGAGTGAGAGGATGCAGAGTTGGACACTGAGGTCTCTGCAGGAATGTTTATATCGCTGTGGACCAGTGGGAGGAGGAGGAGAGAAATGACTGGCCACTGTTAACTGTTCACTGGTCCGCTTTGTCATGATGCCTTCAAGAACTCTCTGTAACCCGAAGCCACAGTTGTTGTTTAGTGGTGTAAAATCCCCACACTGGCAAAACAGTCAACAGACTGTTGTTGTCCTCCATAAAATTCTTACGTTTCAAACATTTTATATTCAATAGCCTACATCATACGTTTGGAAATAGGCAAAATCCTTTATTGCACAATATTTGCATTAACACGTTGTTTTATAGACTATTTGAATGTCTTTATAATAGCATTTTTCTGATGACAAGTGGACTCTGTAGCAGTCTAAATAGCTTTTTGTGGAAATGTCTACGCATGCAAATCACATTCAAATGAAGATTAGAGAGAAACCGATGACGGCAGGTGTTGAAGACTGGCCCAGTCACTTTGAGGATACATCGCAGTGTTTGTGCAGAAAGGACAGTGACTCATCGGGACCGTGTCAGATTAAATGTTACTGATGATGTATCTACAGCAGCCATAACCTCTGAAGAATCAGAATGACCAAACAGGCAGAGACCTGTAGAATGTCATAACAGCGAGAATAAACTAAGTTGAATTATGTTTTATCATATAGACCGCAAATATCACACAAAAGTTTCGGTCAGATAAATTCCAAATTAGATTAATTCTGCCACTGTAGCCAAATCGGTTTTTAACCCATATTTATTTAATCCACAAGGCCCGTAAACTATGGGCTGCATTTAAAGCCTACTAATTTATATCTTGAGCTGCACTGCCATCTAGTGGACAGCTAGAGTATATTAAATGATTGCTTGATATTGTTAAAGTTTGGAACCATTGCTAAGGCCTAACAAACTGCCCAGTCTGTAGGACATAGAGGTCAGGGCGTGGCAGTGTACTATGGACAACAGAGACCTTTTCATGGATTTTAGAGAACTAGAAAATGGCTTTAATCTAAAAACTGAAGTGACCAACTTTTTCTGTATAAATAAGTAAATGTTGTTGTCTCCCCAAGTTTATTGTAAAAGCAGAATGTGACAAAAAGCATACTGCTGCATTGTCTTTGTCTTATTTTAAACATTTTATTTATTGTAAATTTGTAAGAAAAATGTGCTTTGAGATCAGAACTGATTAGTCGGGCAAGGGTGGTCCACCCTGCTTCACTTTACACCTCAAAAAGCTGCTCTAACTGCACTTGTTGCCAAAAAAAAAAGTGAATGTGAAAAAGTGAATGTGAATGCCAATGTGCCAAAGGCTTTGTGAAAGCTAGAAACTATAATTAGACAGATTTAAATATCAGCTTCCTCCAATTTTATTTGAAGTAAACGTCTGAGCATGCTCCCATTGTTGGTTTTAATTTCATTATTACATATGTATATATTTTATTTAGCAAATTTGATTCAGGTTAAATTTGAGTTTTTTTTTTTTTTTTCCTTTTTTAAAGAGTTTAGCTAGGCGAAAACAAAGTTTTCACAAGAGGAAATTGCATTTCTGTGCTGTGCCAGCCCCGCACTGCCAGCTCAGTCCTTGTCCTATATCATCAGAGGTACAATATCTCATGGCCGGACTGTGAGTGGACTGAACACCATTGAACCAGATTCTCAGAGCCTTCCTCTTCATCTGTCTGGAGGCTCAGATAAAAAAATAAAAAAAAAGAAAAAAGAAAAAAATCTGATGGGCTTTCACGATCTTCTCACTCACATTCACTCTTTTACTTTGACTGATTTCTTTGGTCTGGCGCTTAGATTTCTGTACCAGCACATCACAGAAAAAGTTATTGCACACTCAATAATAACAATTTTTTTGGCTTTACCTAGAATATTTCACCATATGCCAATAAATGTATCTATCTGCAACAACCCTCGGTCAAGTTTACAGGTCCAGCTCACAATAACATTGTATACTTAATTACTTATTTTATGAGCAAATAACTTATAAATAAAAGTTAGATACGTTTGAGTTGTTGTTTATACTGTTTAGTGGGCTGTTTAACTGGAGCGATGAGCATTTGTAAAAATAGGATAGGAGGATAAAGTGAGGGTTAAATCGAGCTGCACCGCCCTCTAGTGGACGGTTTAGGCCATAATAATGTCATAGCTTTGTTGCTGCTGACAACCGGTTGCCATGACTTTTATGATTAGACAAACCAGTGATTGCAGCTTCTGTTTCACAGAAACTGCAGTAGCAATACTGTGATAAGAGAAGTAAAAACGGGGCTTGAAAATACAATGAATAAACTCAGGGAACTCTGTCAAGAATGTTTTTCTCTGAATTATGAAAATTAACATTGACACTAATATTGCACTGGTCTAAAGGGTATTATATGCAAATCTTTGTATTTAAATGCACCATAATGATAATTATTATGCGATAATTATTTGGCAATAAAAGAAAATGATCACTAAAAATATATTCTAATATAAACTGTTTTTGGAAGAGTTGTTAACATTAGTCTGGCAGAACATTGCTGCTGGAGCTAGATGTTGGTCTGTTTTAAATCGACCTGATTGGTGGGCCCTCTGTCTTTGGCGCTGGCATGTTGTGTTAGTTTTGTTCATATTTGCTTGTGGCCTGTTTGTCCCTGGTTGCGCTCACGTGGGGCACTGGATGCGCGCGCGACTGTTGACGGGACGGTAACTGTCTGTCACGCGCTGGAGTGTGACGCGCGCGCAGGTCCTGTCTCTCTCCTTCACTGACTTCATCATCTCTGCCTTCCTCAGTGTTTCCTGTCTTCGTCAGTGACATAAACAAACTCTAAATCGTCCTTCCAAAATATCTGGCTCCCTATTTTGACTTCATGTGGCCCTCGTCTCTTTGCCAAAGCCACTAACGTCCCAAGCAGGGCGGATCCTAACCTGCAGGGGCCCCGGCTCTTGAGTTCTATGTATCTGAGCTCAGCTATTGCGGATTCACATCTGACAAAATCAAGGCAACTCTGTTTTACCCACAGACTGTGTAAAAGATACATACGATCTGTAGTTTTACCTGACCTAAATCACATTTTTTTAATATGTTTAAACATTTTATTATTGTAATTTTTATGTTGTTGACCTGTTGCAGTGTTATTATTGATATAGTTACAATCTCACGTATCCAAAGCATTTATGTTGACTCAATACGGCTAATCTTTAAAATTAAACAATAATAAAAAAAATAATAAAAAAATTAAATAATAATTTTAAAGATTAGCCTAATGTATTGTTTGAATATTTACCTTTGTTTTGTAAAACCTAGCCAGGGCTAAGTCATTTTTTCTGTATTTTATTAAATTTTTTTTAGTATTCATTTATTTATTTATTTATTTACAGCCTTTCTCCGTGTATTTCACATTTGCCATTTTTGAGTAGTTCTGACTTTCTCCACCCTGGGTCATTCTTCCATTATCAGCCATCATCAGAATTAAACTTAGACAAACTTTATTGATTCACAAGGGAAATTATTTGGAGACAGACCTCACCATAAATATAATAACAAAGAGCAAAAATAAAAATGGTAAGTAGTATATTGTGTATGCAGAAGAAAAATAAAAATACAGAAATATAAATCTCAGTTATATACAAGAGGTCGTCCGGGGAAACAATGCGATGATTAAATAGTGATTGACATAAGGTCATGTATTACATAAGGGTGAGTTGTTGTACAGTTGTATGGAGTATAGAATGAATGCACTCCTGTATCTCTCACTGTCTGAGCAGAGCTATTAAAGATGGCTGCTGCATGAGATTCGTGACTTGGTCCAGCCCTTCTTGTATGGACCTAACACACAGTCATTTTCCAGTACCAGTAGATATTTAAAGGTCCTGTATTACGCAAAATTGATTCTTGTGAGCTTTAAGTCATGTTATACTATAAAAAGTGAAGATGTGTTTTGTTTCATTTGCAAATGTTTGAGTAATCCTTTAATACTAGCCTGTCTCCATCTCCAGAGGTCACCTTGTGATATCTTGGAGCGGTAATTTTCAAGTTAAAAGCAACAATTTAACAACCTTTTACATTTAGTTGAGGGCTGAAATTGTCAAAATAACTCTAGTGAAGGTGTATGTAGTTTAAAAACACAGTGGAGCACTTCCTGTATGACCGTGTGACATCACAAGGTGGAACAGAGAGTTTTCTTTTTGAGAAAAACTCAGCCTATATACGCAGGATTTGTATGTTAAACATGTGTGTATGAAACAACATGATGACGAAACAACATTATAACATAAATCAGAATATAATATGAGCCCTTTAATTGTTCTTTCTCACGTTGTGTCTTGTGCAGCTGTGATGTTGCATGCTTTATGTGACTGTATAATTGTCCAAGTGTAGTTTAGTGCGGTGCTTTGTGTGTACGTTCTGTCACCTTCTCTCAGGGTTACGTCTGGACCCTTGTGCTCCTCAATCAGCTCTAATGGCTCTTCTGGCTCCGACTCAGGCGGGACACTGATGCGACTCACCCTCCCTCCCTCCTCCTGACAGTGAGGGGGGGGGGGCAGTAATGTACGTAGGGATGAGCTCAGACCAATGACAACACTTTCCCTCTTCGTCCTTTATTTCTTCTCTAATGCGCAACCTCAAATCAAAACCTGGTGTCTGCAAATTGTTGATATTCACTATTGGAACAAAGAATGGACCTCTGCTTTATTGAGCTGTTTTATGTGCCCACTGTGCATAAGAATTTCCAGTATTACCTGCTCATGTCAAAAATATGCATGTGAGTCTTTACTGCTGGTCTGTGATACTAAACTGATTAAATTTTTCATACATCTTTGGTTAAATGAGGACAGGGACAAAGACACTAGATCTTAAGAAGTAACACAAAATATAAAAGGATGGAACAAACCAGAACAAATCATAACAAAAATCTGATGTGATTTTTAACTATAAACTTGCAACTTGTTATTTTTTTCTACTTATTTTTAATTATTATTACCATTTATATTTTTGCTCTTTGTTATTATAATATATTGTGATGTGTGTGTCTAAAGAATTTCCCTTGTGGATCAATAACGTTTCTAATTCGAAGTCTAAACCAACGACATCCCAAATCAGAGGACATTAACAAAATTAAAAAAGTATTTTCCATCAAGCCTTTGTACCTTCTCTCCCTCTCTGTGTAACTACCCACAGCTCGAGTGCATACAAGTTCACAGTGGACATGTAGATATCAGGCTATAGAGTTGGTTGAAAAAGGCACTTGTCTGTATCCGTTAACACGATGTCCCGTGTGTAAATGGTCAGCCCCTCCCCCCTCTTCCTCTCTCTTCATCCTCTTCTTCAGTCTCTGAGTGAACAGCTCCCTTGGGGCTAATGTGTGTCTTTGTAAGTGAAGTGTGTGTGGGCTCTACATTATTCTCCCCAGTGACTTTCTATGGACAGAAAAACTGCTGACCTGCCTCTGAGGAGTCCCCTTCTGTATATATAGATCTAACAGAAAAGAGGACTCACATGTATTCTATATTCTATACTGTAAATGCATCTCTAAAAAAAAAAAAAACTACGTTAGTGGTTCAGCTAAAAGAGTAATTTGTACTATAAAGTTTGCACATGCAGAATAAAATACTTCTTATCTTGTCTTGGGGTTTATGTATATTATAAGCTGTGCTATAAAACGTAAATTTACAAATACCTACAATACTGATAGTAAAGACATCCAAAATCTCCTTTCTCTCTTTACTGCTCTGGAGCAACTTGAATTTTTCCTGCAACATCTTTAGCTGAATTAATGAGCTGCTTATTACGGTTTATCTTGACAATCTGAAACAACTTGCACACTTAGATTCTTAGGTTAATTTACAACCTTTTTGTTGAGCCTTTGGGGAGACAAAAAGAACAATTTCATTTTTATTGATCTGGCACGAGTAAACGTGCATTGTGGGGTGACGTGTTTGACTCCCAGCTTTGGTAAAAATGAAAACCAGACTCATTCCTGCAGTCGTGTCCAGAACTGTGGACTGTACCTGTGGTCTGTGTAGGGGAACAAGGCTGTGTGGTAATTGGGTTTGCGTTACTGATTAGATTAGACCAGGCGCTACATTTATTTCTCTAAAGAAGCCCCTTAGCCTGCTTCTAATGCCTAATGGAGAAGATGGGCAGATATATAGGAAACAATTAGATCCCCTATCATCTCATGCATAGATGTGTTTCACGATTCTTGCCTTATACCCATTGTAATGTCCTGCACATTTTATCTAGATCCATACCACTACTTCCCAATCCATTTTCCCCATGTTTCAATTAGTTGCTTCCCAATCAAATTACAGGGGACATTACTTAAGAAGGACATAAATAGACAAGCGCTGTCAAGATGGCGGTGCATGAGTCTGAGATGAGATATGAGCTGTCTGTATGGCGAGCTGACTGCAGAATGCACAGTTTAAACCAAGAATAGCACTACAGTGATTATGTAATTGCATTTGTGGTTCGGGTACAGGTTTGGATGTGTTGGTTGATGTTTTATTGCTTTTGACAGGACTAACAAGCATATAAAACTGTTCTTATCTACTTGGCTTTGCTGTTTGGTAATCTTTTGTAAGTAATCTGGCTGGATTTGGTGGATAGCTGGATGCCCCTCCTGATGTAGCATATATGCAACACAAGGCTTATTACCTCGTGTTGCAAGAGATGTTTTGACTTACTTGGTAATCTGAAGCATTATGGGTCTCATTTCTTTCACAGCGGATACAGAAAAAATATTTTAAACAAAACAAAGGGCAGACTTAGTCACCTTGCCTAAGTTATGCACATTAGATTGCTATCTGGATGCTTTTCCTAATCACATTTTGTCATGTCCACTGAAAGATATTGCCCATAAGGACTTCCACTTCCCAGATTGAAATACATTATCATTTCCTGCTTAGAAAATAGATCCAGGATGGTTACAAAATGGACAAAAGTAGTTTTATATAATGCAAAATTTTTTGGCACATGACTTTTTGGTGGTTTCGAAGGATAAAACTGTGAAAATGAGTGCACTTTTGGTATTCATGCTTTAGAAAAGGTTGTAGGGTTTTGTTAAAAGGAAATCTGACTATGTTTTGAAGACCAAGTGAGTGACACCAGAAGATGTTCTAAAAATAGCCATGAATGAGTGAGTATACTGATATCTAAATGCATTTGACCAACCCCCAATAATACCTGCGCACATCCGTAAATCCCCAAATAAATGGATTGACTTTTGGACAAGTGACAGTTTTGCGTCATAATTGTTAATTATTGTGAGTGCTCTTTGAGGTACTTTCTATGAATGGGCCCAGGACACTCACGTTCCCCATCACGCTGCTCCTTTTATGGGATTGTTCCGTACTTCTCAAGGTCGGTATAAAGGACATTCGTGAAGGGCGGGGCACTTGCGTCATCTCAGTGATTGGTTGATTTTATGGCAACAGGCGCCCAAACGCTCCGCCCAACAAAGTCCAGCCCAGTCAGTCCATCTCTCCAGCCACCTCACGCAGCCTCCAGTGGCTCCTCCCACAGTCCCAGACGAGAGTACAGCACTTAAGGTAATGTAAATAAGCAGGGAGAGAGCCACAGGGCTATTTTAAGATGTCGTCTTTCATAGAGGGCCAGAGAGGGGGACAAAGATCCAAGACAAGGCATTGTAATTTCAGTCACGTTTTCTTACATGTTCCTTTACTGGTCGTACCTTAAGGCCTCCCAAGCAAGACCCATCCCACAGCAAAGTTGATCCACCCAGGAAAAAAGACAATATTTCAGCTTTTTTTTTTTTTTTATACAAAAGTAGACTTTATATATGCTTGGAAACATTTACATTTTAATGTTTCATTTTTTTATAACATCAAAAATAAATAAACATTTAATGGTATGTTCTGATATACTTTCACATACTTTGTTATATTTTTTGTTCTAATATTCTTTTATAAACACATCATAGATAATCTGTACACTGTTGGTAAAGAAATGTGAATGGCCGTTGTTTTACTGCAACTCTCACTGTTTGACGTCACAAACAAACTGCACAGAGACAGCAGTAAAATGGACACACTTAAGTAAAGTGAGATCATCAGAGGTTACATTCATATTCAAGTCATTGTTCACTGCGGTCTGACTGGACACGGCCAGAGCTGAGAACGCGAAAGTTACTTGTGTTTCATTTAAGGCAGTTAATTACAATAAAAACATTTGTATTTTACATTTTAACATACAGTTCTATGATCAGATATGCCTCAACACCTGACATATATGTTTCAACTACAATCTACAGTTCTATGATTCATATATGGATTGTTCTACGATTTGATTCACAGTCATCGCAATAATTAGCCATTTACAGTAAATGTCCAAACCGAAATGACAAAACATTTTATACGGTGATGGTTTTGGCACAATGTAGTTTGCTCTACGCTTCAGTAGTATTTCATATTTAGGCTACACTTTCATTTTTTTTTTTATAACTATAACTCTTTTTTAAAACACTAATGCTACAGCGGCAAATGGATAGTGTAAAGCTATAAAATATCTGCTTTATTTCAAATCAACTATAAAAGCATACAGTGGCTACAATATGAGTTATTGCCATTGATACATAAAATATTTATTTCCTAACCAGATTTGTGCTGTCTGTTGTCTTATTTATCCATCCAGTCTCATCCAAGACATTTTGTTGCTCCACAAACTGGCTAGGCTGTCAGTGCAAAACGGTTCATCTTATGTTAAATTAAAGCCATTTCATAAGATAACCGTATAACTCAAGTCAAATATTCAATGCCCCCAAACTTAATTTGATCAAGACTCAGCAGTAATGATATGATGGTAACTTACTTCACAGAAATATTTCAATTTTAGAGTTTCAAAATGGCCACACAGTATATCCAGAAATATGGCTGTTGTCCACTTACCACAACCACGATACAGACTACTTAGAAGGTCCACGCTTTAGAAACTTTTCATTTTCAATCAAGCCTTTCAAAGGGTAACAGCTTACTTTTGGCAGTCAGACCTGAGTCACTCTTCGTCATGGTGGGAGGAGTCAGGACTAGACTCCTCCTCCTCTTCCTCCACTGGTTCTGTGGGCAGTGTGTCTCGGCGCGTGAATGCCGCAGCCAAAGTCACGCTCAGCCTTGGCTTCACTGACGCCATCTCCGACAGGCCGATGTTGTTCCCACGCGCCACCAGAGTCGTTTTGTCCATAATCTCGGCACTGTGCTTAGATACAACTGCATCCAGGAAGTCGTACTTGTGTGAAAGCTTGCCACTCTCAAACAGGTACTTGGCCAGGTATGAGAAAGCCACATTACCAGCAAAAGAAGCCAACATGGACACGGTTTTGAAAGGGAATTTTTGTATGACAACATCCTCCATTTCTCCTGAAATGTTGTTCAGGTATTTCTCAGTGGTCCAGCCGGGGTAGTAGATAAAAGGTGGTAGTTTTAGGTAGGGCTCTCCTCCGCCAATACGCAGCACCAAGCCGAAAATGTACGCTGCTACAGAACCATATGTGTTGGTGCCTTTGACAAAGAGGACGGCGATGAGCTGAGGAAAGATGATGACGTAAACCAGGTCAGAGCTTAGGTACCACAAGCCATAGACTGTTCCTGTGACCAGCGCCATCACTGTGGCCAGTCCACCGAATACAAAGATGGTGATGCGCATGACCCACACAATCTCACGGTCGGAGGCCTGCAAATACACATACAAAGTCATAAAAAAGGTATAAGAGTGATATCATTTTTAACAGCCCTGGAGTGAGAGAGAGCAGACAGTGAGTTATGCAAATGTAAGTTCTTAAAGCTGTACTATGTAACTTTTTGGTGGATGGTCTGCCACCTGTCTCATGTCATTGCTTTGTCTGTAATTTTCCACAGTATGACCTTAACTCACCTCTTTCTCATTGTGTTGAGTTTTATTCATTATAAGATACAAAAACAAAACAAAAAAAACAACAACAATTATTACCGTGATCAGACTTGCCTCTCCACAGATCTGACTGAACTTGCATCATCAGATTCTCTCCAAAGTTTAAAGCCATACTGTTTAACATTCCCGGCAAAGTGATAAAATCTCCATTGAGAAAAGTTGGAGAAAAATGATGTAGTACACCTTTTAATAATATGGTGCTTATGTAAATTGAAGACATCAGCAGCAACCTTTCATCTATCTGAACATGGAACTTTCTCTCTCTTTTCCTTAAAATACCCTTGTCAGTATATCACACATAATGTCAGATAATGGACAAATCCCAGAATCTCTACGTTTTGAAATGACAGAATCCCTCACCGACTGTCTGAATGCGAGCTGGTAGATGTTCCTGGCAAACATGGAGCTGGCTGACAGAATAGAGGAGTCTGCAGAGGACATGACGGCCGCGGAGACAGCTCCCAAACCAAAGAAGGACACAAAGGGGGGACAAAGGTGCTGGAGGACAATGGGTAAAATCATGTCTGCCTCATTCTTCTCTTTAGGGGAGACACCACCGTACGTCGTCTGGTTCCAGTCTGGAAGTCAAAGGTTAAAAATCTAATTATAAAAGCTGTATATTTAATAATAATCCAAAATGACTGCAATAGTAAATCCCTGAGTGTAAATTATATGATGGATAATGAAACACTTAAAAACACTTATAAAATGTGTTGCACAAATTCAACAAAATAAATATAATTTTTTTTTTTTTCAGCTAGATGCCCTTTCTTCCTGCAGCAATATTCCCTGTTAATTCAGCCTTGAAAGAAAATGTGCACTAAAAAGTAATCATTTATATTTATAGTATTTCTTGTGCTTTTTTTTAATATAAACATTTTAGGTTAGACTGGTATGAGATATTACCAGGCGTGTTAAGATGTTCAGACAAATAGAAACCTAGAAATGCTGAGATCAAACCTCTAATTTGGTCTCATGCCTTCTTCTTATGCAATATTTACACAAGCAGCATGGTTATTAAACGGATTGCTGCTTCATTATGGATGAGGTGAACCAGCTGCCATTTACCAGCCTCCCTCAGATCTAAGGGCAACATGTTTTCACACAAACACACAAACTCAGTGTGAATATGAAAGTACTGACAGACCTGTGGAGGCCCCGATGGCGCCGATGAGGACGGAGGGGACGGCCATGACGAGGCAACCGAACGCAGCAAGGAAGGACAACACCTGGGCGTATGTGGCGGAGGAGGCAGACAGTACACGCTGGAAGTACACCTGCCATGGGATACCACCCAACATCTGAGAGGACAACCAGAATTAAAATCACATCTGTTTACAATTCTCAGCATTGTTGTTGAAACATAATCGAAAAAGACATTATACTAAACTACTACTAAAGATATTAACATCAAAAGATCACTTTTACAAATCAAAACACAATTTTATTGTGAATTTTAGCAGTAGTAGAAATTACAGTACAATCTATTTGTATAGTACAATCACTGAGATGAATTTATGTTAGATTTGTTGTCAGTGGTTTACCAAGAGGCAGAAGTTATCTATCCAGACCCAGGTGTCACTCGTGCTGACGCTGCCTCTCCAGGGTGACTGGTACACCTGCTTCACAGCAGTCACTGTGATGTCTGCCACTGCTGGGTTAGTCAGAGCAAAGGGGACACTGATCCACTGAGACCACAAAGAAAAAGCACAAATAAGAGTGAACCATGAGATCAAAGTCTAAACCGAAATACAATGTGCTTGAGACCAGTAATTGTAGTAGTCTCCTTTTTGACTCACCAAACCAACAAATATACAGAAGAGCTGCACCACGTCAGTGTAAGCCACTGAATAAAGCCCACCAACCAATGTGTAAAAGATCGCAATGAGAGCTGAGATGACCACAGACATCTTGATGTTGATGTCCACAATAACACTCAGCGTAGCCCCTGCAGTGTGAAAATAGAATATATTTTAGATTTTTAAAAATCATGATAAATGCTGAGTCATGCTTCAGGCCTGCAAACTTACCAAGTGCAGACAAAATGGCGGCTGACCAGAAGATCTCACCCATCAGAGCCGGTATGAATAACAGACCACCCATACGTTTGCCATACAGTTGCTGGAACGGGTCCAACATGGTGACGTAACCTCTGGAGCGCATGGGCTTAGCAAAAAAGAGACCGCCTGTATCAGAGACAGCACATGCATCAGACAGTGAACCAGCACCGCCCCATGTCCAATATAAGGGCATAAGGTTAATGCATTATTTGGCGAACTGGAGCAATGGAGGATGGGTATATGGAAATGACACAAGACAACAAAGGTATATGCAACAAAACTCACCAACAACTAGACTGAGAGCATATCCAAAGGGAGCCTGTGCCCAAGCCAAACCATAACCTGGTAAATACACATACTCAGCTGTGCCATTGATGTACCCTCCTCCAACCCACGTTGCTAAAAAAACAAATAAAAAGATAATATTTATTTTGATACTAAACATATCTTCCTAACTTCCTAAAATTATAGTTTGTTTTCTATATTTTAATCTTTCAAGTTTAGTGTTGAACATAATAGAACATTTACATTTGTTTTATTTTGTTGACAAATCAATAATAAGTCAATCAAAAATATTAAACACAATTCCATGCAGGACATGTAACCAAAAATGTATTTAAGCCACTGATATAGGACAATATCTATTCCGTTACCTGTCATTGTAAAGCCTCCAACAAATAAGCCAATGTCTCTGCCTCCAACCATGATCGTCTCGCTGCGGTCCGTGCCCTCCGCTTCTCCCGAGTTTTTGTTCTTCCATGCTGCCCAGATGCCCACAAACAGGATCAGAAGATAGAAGACCGCTATAGCCACAAGTCCCTCTATGTGGATGGTCATTGTGCACGGGTCGAGCGCTAGGAGCGGCCGGGCAAAGGCACCTATCATGAAAAAGTGAAAGATTCAAAAAAGAGCTTAAGTTCCTCGTAAACATTTAGTTTTATTAAAGAAGTTTTAGACGAGATATCGATGCTTTTGTGTGAACATATTTCTGAGATAAACACACGGGTGTTTGACGCGTAATTGTCTTTTTACGCACATCTTTTCCAGAAAAAAATTAGTTTGGATATTGTATCCCCAGACTGTGTCCTATGTTTATGACCCCTAACATTAAAAAAAGTTTATTTATTTATTATTATTATTTTTAAAGCTTGGCATTTAAATGTGGCAAACAATGTCACAGTAATATTCCACATGCATGCGGTAAATTCATTTTAATTTTCTGTTTTACTAACATATACGTTTTTCCTGCACACACAAAATATGACGCAAACGCATCTCTTTAAATTATAATACAACAAAAACATACCTCAAATATTCCAAGAGTCATGTGCCGTGTCCCCTGACGCAGAAAGAAACGAGCAAAAGTGAGTAGTTTATAAAAATGAGTAAAGTCCGCTTTTACGCACGGAGAAAAGTGAAATGAGAGGACGCTGCAGGTCTCTCGGGTGACTTACTGGGGCTTATAAGGCGCCAGGTGCCGTCACGGGGCTGACACGCGCGTCAGAGGAGCAAAACGTCCCTCTTTAATGAGCGCCATGTATGAGAGACGTCACTGCCCCGCGCGCACCAGACGCACAGCAATCGGACGGGAGTAGATTCCTTTAGTCAATGAAGGACACAAATGAACCGTGGTTTCATTACTCTTAGATTATAGTCTGCATTTAACATTATAACAATATATTTATGGATTTAAAAAATAATAATAATAAAAAATTAAAGTGTGTTAATTAATTAAGGCGAAGTTACGGCAATCTAACTGGCCTTTTAGCCCCTGTCTTTTTCTTCTGCTCAACCTTTCCTTGACAAAGCAATTATCTTTTCTGTTTATCGACGATTTTACGCCATTTAGATGTTCAATAAATGCAACTTAAATTTAATACAAAAATATATATGTGCCACATTATACTTTACCACCTATACAATTTTATTTTGGCCTGCTAATCAGTTATGGTATGTGAATATATGAACAATTAAGACACATGGACTCACTTTCTTCCACTTCTAGGCAGTAGCGTGTATCAGAAAAATCTTCTTAAAGGTCTCTTCAATTTGAGGTAATTTAATTCGGCCTGTTCTTGTCAAAAGTGATGCCCATCCAATTAGAATGGATCTAAGAGTCTGGAGCAGAGGAAAGACGTTTAATGATACACATAGGTTTAGTTCAGGAAAATGTGTGATCACAGTGTGTAGGTAGACCTCAAGAATTGACATTTATTGGATCTGCTCCACACAAACAGCGCCCTCTATTGGTGATAGCGCAGCCGACACCATTTCAGGACCATGGACAGAGATAAATAAGTCAACATAATCACTACAATCAGATGATGGCGTCAAAGTTTGTGTGGAAAAAAAAAAAAAGAAAAAGAAAATTGAGATCTCGCTACATCAACTTAAAAATAAAATTTCCAAAAAAGTGTTAACATTAATACAATGTTATAGCTTTAAAAATGTAACATGCACATGTTATCACTAATTCACAATTTTCTAAGTGGAAGCTGTGTTTACATTTAACTAGTTTAATTGTGCAGGGCAAAAGGATTGATGTCTAATGAGCAGCTGTTGCTGGCAGAGCTCAAGACACTTTTTCTGAGGAGGTTGGGGGTTGGAAAAAAACATGTTTTCAAAAAAAACCTAATTAAACTATATAACAATGTTTTTGATTCACAAACACAGAACACTTTTTTTTCTAATTTATTTGTGTTTAATTAAATTACAACTTTAATAAAAAATACAAGCAGTTCTATTCTATCTTGTCACTGGTTGGGAAAATTTATTTTAAAGCTAAAGAGAATTTGTTACATTCAAGATTTGTCCTTCTAATTACGGATTTTAAAATAAAACTGCTTGTGATACCTTTACATTTCATCTAATCAACAAAAAACATCTGTAGTAAAATAAGGCCAAGATAAAAACTACATGAAAAATCCAAATATACACAAAAATTATGACACATCATTTGTTACCTTTACCGTTGGAGTAAACCCTCAATATTATTTACAGCTTAAATATGTTCTCTTTCTGCAGTTTTTAACAACTTTTAAGTAACAAAACAACGAAGAGCTGGGCATTATGCAGTTTTAACAAACAATATGTAGTCTTAGCACAGCAGTTAGCATCGGAATGCACTCATCTTCATATATGTAACATTTTAAAAGGTTTTATTACATGCTCAATCCAGCCCTGATGAAAACAGGCAACTGGCACAAGATATTCATATTCAGTAGGTATAAAAGGAATGTAGTTTATGTCCAAATGTCACATAGAGAAAAGTGCAACTGATGTCAATGTTTAGCTGTTATACATTGTAGATACGGTTAATTATGGATGAAGTGAGTATAAGACAAAATCTGATTTGACAGAAAGTAAAAAATGTTGTTTCAACAGAAATGCCTTTCCTTTTAAATATCATGTTGGATCACATACATATTGCTGTACCTAAAATAATCTATATTATTTCATTTATAGTTCGGCTTGTCAGTCTTGCTCTTCAGGACCTCACGTTCTCGTTGTTTTGATTTGATCTAAAAAAGAAAAGGAAAAAAAGATTACATTTAAACACATCTCACTAAAATCAGAATATAGGAATACATACAGGGTTACTATATCCATATTTGCACACACTGATATTTCATTAATTAGAGAGAAAACAGATATATACTATATGTACTACAGAACTAAAATACTTACAGAACAATTTGTTCTATTGAGGAAAGTTTGTAAAAACACAGAAAACATGCAACATGCAAGTTACTCCATAAATATACAACAAAGACACAAAGACCCATCCTGAACGTTTCTCATACCTTGAAGCCAGTCGACACCCTCCTGTAGACCTTCACCTTTCAAAGCATTGGTGGCACTGAAACATACAGATTCAAACATGTTTCTTTAATCAAAACGTGCCGCCTCAGCACAAACCTACCAGCAGGGCTGAAAACATTAACAGTCAAATTCTCAAGTGTCAAAGGAAATCATGACCGAAGAGTTGCTATGAAAGTACTGTGCTTTACTGTGCTTCTTGTTTATTAACTAAAACTTAAAATAATTGATAACACAAACCATCTGATCACTATGGTGTTGTGCACAGCATTAATCATTTACATCTGTGATTTTCAAGAATAAAATAAAGTTCTTACCAGATATGCCATGGTTTATCTTTGATGTTTTCCAGACAGAGCAGTTGTGAGACTTTGACTGAAGTAAGTGAATCTCGTACATCCATCTTGTTTGCAAAAAACAGAATTGGGATCCGCCTATGTTTGACATCTACACAAAAAGATATCATGTACATTATACACCAATAATAATAATAACAGTACGTCCAACTTATCAAACTTATATAGAACAGAACAATGGTGAAAATCAAGGGAATGCAAGTTTGAAAAGGTGAGTTTTTCGTAGTGATGTGAAGCTCTGTAATGAGTTCCTGATGGGTTGTTGGATTGATTTCAGATACAGCAAAGGCTCAGTGCCCCCAATGTCTGGTGCTTTGTCTTGTTGCCGGGGGTGAGGAGATTGGTGTTGGCAGATCTGAAGAAGCAGATGGGACAGTTTGGATGCAGGTTGGTGAGATAGGGGGGTCAGGTTATGAAGGGGCTTGTAGGTGATGAGGACCTTGTATTGTATGCAGTATTGAACAGGTAGCCAGTGGAGTCATTTGAGGACAGGCGTGAGGAGCGGGTATGGGGGAGAAGGCAGGCAGCAGAGTTCTAGATGTATTACAATTTGTGGAGGTGGGTGGAGGGGAGACTGCATACACACAGCTATTTCAGTAATCGAATTTGGAGGGAAAGAGGGAAGGGTGAGGAAGAGCACTGTTGCGGAGGTGGAAAAATGTTTTAGTGATGAGGATGATATGGACTCTGAAAGAAGTTGGGGTCCATGAGAATACCAAGATTATGTACAGAGGGGGTGGGGGAACGGCTTGACCAGTTGTTGAAGATGATGATGTTCTGAGCAGAAGAGAGCTCTGGGTCGGTGATAAGAGGTTCTGTTTTATTGCTGCTGCGTTTGGGGAAGTTGTGGTCCATCCAGGTTTTGATGTCTAACAAGCCATTTGTGATGGTGTAAAGAATGATGGTGTTGGATTTCGTGGAGATGAAAAGCTGTCATAAGCAGTGAAAGTCCATGGTGACAGATGATGTGGACAAGGGGAATAATGTAGATGATGATCAAGAGGAGGGGGCGGAGCACCAAACCATTAGGAGGTGTGAGATTTGCTTTGAACAGCTAGAAGTTGAGAAGATATTGTGACGATAACTTATATGATTTTGAAAATGTGTTCGAACTTGTCCAAGTCAGGGTTCAGTTTTTTCCAGAAGTGGTGTATTTGAAGGTTCTCTTAGGTCTGTTTTATGTATTTTGTCTCAAAAATGTTTACTCTAGATTTAAATTCGTCTACCTGGGTGATTGAGTAGTGTGTCAAGTTCCTCTTTAGCCACAACCATCCTCAGCTTGTCCGCACTATCAATGACAAATATTATAGCCTGGCCCTCCCTGAAAAACAGACATGGTTTAAGTTTTAATAAAAACAATTACTTTTGTTTAATCATTATAACACTCACTTATAATAGTGCTCCCAAAGGTTTCGGTACCTGCCTTGGCCAGACATATCAAACACAGTGAAGGACAGACTAGAAAAAGTCAAAGAATTCTTGTCAAATATAATCTTCATACATAATACATACATACAATAAACCAGTACTTAAGTCCCACATACCTGGAAGTCTTGAATTTTTCAATGTTAAAACCAATTGTAGGGACAATGTCTTGGGTCTGGGCCTTTGAAACAATGTTTTGAAACAAGAGTTAGTCAGAGCTGAAATATACAATATACTGTCAATACTGCATTTATTCAGTACAACTGAACACATTACAACAGTATTACATTTGAGGGTTTGAGCTGGTTGATAATAGTAGTTTTTCCGCTGTTGTCCAGACCCAGACAGAGCACATTCACCTCCTTCTTCAGCCCCAGCCATGAGGCCAACTTATCAAACAACCCCATTAGTTATTCAGCACATGAGCTTCCCCTCTGACCTGTTCAAAACACATATTTCATTGTAATGAAAGCAACATTATTTTGTGTTTAAAAACTCAGGAGGCACGTATGATTCACAAATGTTTAGCCCTAGGTTAATTACTTAGTAAAAGACGAGTTGTAACCTGTTAGTGTCTTGCTGTAACCTTTATCCATGTTTGTTTGGCATTATGGCTTTGTAGCTTGCCTAATACTTCTGCGAGCAGCTAACGTTAGCTCGTTAGCTTCTAACCCTACTTAATCTCTTGTCGTTGTCAAATGGAGCTAGCAAAAAAGCTTTGCTAAATTTCACAGTCAATTTACCAGGTTTATATCCTTTCCATATGTCTATATCTCATAAGTTTACTTAAATGTGAAACTAAATGGATGCAAACATCTCGCATCGTTATCTGCCGCTGATGCATTTTGTCAGTAGCTAGCTAGCTAGCTAATAGTAATGCTAACATGGACATTAGGTCCATACAGTGAAATCGTAGCTAAAAACGTCGTTTACCTTGGATGTTTATCAAATGTATTCACTTCAAGGTGTGGTCCACGATGGGCTGGGCTTGTCTCATGAACGTGTCTGACTCAGAGCATCGTTTTTGCCTCTCATCTTAGTCGCCGCGCGCCTCCTCTGGGTTATTTACACTTCGTTGCTGGGAGACCACCGTGTACGTAATGACGTCAGCTTCCCCGTAGGCCCGTAGGTCAAAAAAAAAAAAAAAAAAAAATTAATTTATGAAAAAATGAAAGAAAAGGAGGACAAAATCATACCTACAAATTAATTCATATTTAATTTTATGTATTTTGCATTTATATATTGTATTTTCCTTTTCAGTGACATCGACTGCCAAATGTGTATGTAAACATTTTAAGTTATAAACCTATTGGAGTTTTTGTTTTACGTTGCTCTACCAATTACTGGCTCGAATGACATATAACTTTTCAAACCTATTGCATCTGTGTGCTCTTCAGATGTTTGACAAACTCACCTGACACATCTCCATGTCCAGAAAACGTGTGTGTTCTTCAGTGGCAGTCAAGAGGGTGTGTGCATCTCAACAAGGTTTATAATTGTTGCTCTTAACAATGAGCTGCACACTAGTGTTTGAGAGAAGACTATTAAAATAACCTTGTTTTATTAAGGAACTGAATAAAACATACAGCTTTCACAAGACTTTGTACAAGACATACTGCATTATCATGAGGATACATTTCTATAAAATCTTTTGACATTCAACGGTCTTCAGTTCAAAAACATGATTGTGTTTACCACACTTTAAATCAGAGAATTGTCTTAAAACAACTCATAATTTTCACTAACCTTACGCATCTCCACATCATATCAGCTCATGAGGTAACTCGACACCTTTCAAAGTCTATCTCAGATTGTCAGTTGGAGAGAGAAGAGGTATTGTGAAGACTTGAAAATACTACGGGAAGAAAGTCCAAAATTCAAGTGAGATGCATTTGCTGAGTTCTGGAGAGTTTGTCGAGCGCTGACAGAGGTTTGGTTGTTGTGGACGACTGTGTTTCTGAAGATCTGAAGATGATAGGTGTGTGATTTCAACTAGACGACATCTGGCCAAGCACCTGACAGCTCCCAAAAGAGCGGTGACTGGTATACCTGCTACACCTAACAGTCTGGTGTTTTTGCAATTAATCAAATGGTGATGTGGAAGGTCTCTGGTTCACTTCTAGTCCAGTTCAACAGTTTTTATTAATGCAGGCTCAGACTTGAAAGCCGTTCTGCTGGATGTGGTGAAGCTGCAGACGCAGAGACTGTATGCTGCTGATGATTCGTCTCTGGTGCCCAATCAAACAGATGCCGATTCGTCTAATGTCACTGTGGGCAAGGAAAAGATTTAGGTTTTTAATGGAGATGCACTATTGTAATAAGTGTACCACAAGGACTCTCAAATAGTTCCCATATCCCTGAGAATATTTGTAAAATTTTGTGTATAAATCTTGCCAAAAACTAAACAACAACAGAAAAGTAAACGAGTCATCGCTTCACATCTAAAACAGATTTACACATTAACAGATTTTTACACAAGGCCAGACCAGTATTCAATCACAATAGGTCTAATAGGATTAGGGATGGGACTACAAACAATAATATCATTCATTGTGATAAAAGAGGATGACAGTAATAATTAGTGGTAGATTTTAGAATGAGTGCCAACAAAGACAATCAAACTTATACCACCAGATTATGTAGTTCTTCCATCACTGCTGCTTCCGCTCATAACAATGTACTATTATATGAAAGTTGTTTAAATAGGAAACTTCACAGGACAATTTCAATATCTTTTAAACTTAAGTGCATGACTCCTAAAGTCAATAACATATTTAAACTGTCAACAATTTTCTAGATAATCACTATTATTTTAGCCATGATATTCAACTCAACTGGGCGCCACTCACTCTATATTCATGGTAGAGATGGAGTCCAGTGTTGTGTAGCCTGCTGCGAGGAAGTTGTTTTTGTACTGGCTCATTTTGATGGAGTCGAGCCAGTCGCCAATGGAGATGAACAGAGGGTAGTCTGGAAGATCCTCCGGCGAGTCAGTTAAGCTGGGAGGACAGACAGAAATGTAAACAGCTCCTGGTGCATAGAAAATGTTGCAACAAGTCTGAGTTGATCTCTTTAAATGCCTTTAAAATTACACTCAAAGTCCTGGGGATTTGGGTTTTTTTTTTTTGGTTTTGTAACAACTAAATAGTTTCCCTTGAGGATCAATAAATTATCCTGACTCTCTTATGAAATGGCATTTCATAAGGGACCTGTGCTTGATATTTTATTTATGTATTTATTTATTTTGTAGAGATGTGCAATAACTGCTTGTATAGTTATAGTATAGTTAGTTTGAGCTGAATTTCCCTGGTTACATAAAGGTTAAAAAAACAAAAAACAAAACAAAAAACACTACATCCATAAATGCGTGGTGAAGATGGTAGCAACTAATTAAATATCTGGTGAGCCATTCAGAGCTTTTTAAGAATTTTAATGTATTTACTGAAAATGTATAAACAAAAATATCTCTATATTTTTTAATATACAGAGAAATGTGTGAAATATATATAATGTCTTGTTATTCATAGTAACTCTATATTACCTTTGAGCTTCATTTGCAAGTGTAAGCAGACTCCCAGGGCTAATGATGAGTTTATCGAGGAAGGAGAGGACATCAGTGAAGTTTGGTCTCTGACCCGCCTCCTTCTGCCAACAGTGTAACATCAGTTGGTGCAGTGTCACCGGACAGCCCATAGGCGCAGGGAGGCGGTAGCCTTCTTCTATGGATAAAATCACCTGTGATAAAGAGATTTATTGTTTAATATTTATAATGTATAAATGTATAAATACTTTGGAAATGATAATTTACATCTTGATTGGACATTTCCCAGTATGGTCTTTCACCATAAGACATCACTTCCCACATCACAATACCAAAGCTCCACACATCACTAGCAGATGAGAATTTCCCATAAGCAATTGCTTCTGGCGCTGTCCATCGTATTGGTATTTTTCCTCCCTGTAGTAACAAAAAAGGCACAGCAGTACAGTCTATTATATCATGTTTTAAATAAGACATTTTCTGAGGGCTTAGTAATGTTAATGGGTCCATTGACTTCCTGTTCAATACTTCAGAATTGGCTCCACTACCTCACAGTGGTAGTTCACTGAAGCAAGCAGCAGATTTCCGTGTATAAAATGGTTATGTATGATATATTATTAAGATGACACGGACATGGTAAGACAGAGAGTCTGGATTTTTTGGATAACTGCAGAAAATACAGTGGGTGGAGAAAAGAAACACTCAAATGCAGGACAATAAAGGATGCATGAATAAATCTAAATATAACTCTGGGTAAGCAAATCATGAGGGAAAAAATTATAACATGGTTAAAATCTCATAAAAGTCAATTTTCCATGATAAAATGTGATGGTAAACTAGATGAGATGTTAGACTTACTGTAGCAGTGTAGGCCGCCTCAGAGTCATCCTCCAGGACTCGGGACATGCCAAAATCGGACACTTTACACACCAGATTCTTGTCGACCAGAATGTTACGCGCTGCTAGATCCCTGTGCACATAACCCATGTCTGAAAGATAGGTCATCCCCACAGCTATGCCCCGGAGCATGCCCACCAGCTGCAGCACTGTGAACTGACCATCACGGGTCTGAAGAGGAGAGAGAAAGTAAACAGTTTGTATCACTGCTACTGGACTACTACTATTATCATTGTTTTAAAATAATTATATATTAAATTAAGAAGTTACCCTCAGGAAGGAGTCAAGAGCCCCATTTTCCATATATTCCACTACTATCATTACTGGTCTGCCTAAAAAGTACAATAAATAAGTAAATAAATGAACAAAACAGCTCCTAACAAGAATATTTAAAAAGGATAAAATTACTTATGCAATAACTTTACTATAGTTCTGTAACAGCACAGTAATAGCAATAGCATGGTAGCCAAAAACATAATTAATCATAGAACGACGCCATTAACTTTATTTCATGGCAATATATTAAAATTAACCCTAACCTAACAGGAAGAGTTTAAAGGTCCTACATTACACAAAAGCGACTCTTATGAGCTTTTACTTTTGTTATAATGTCGTCCCCTCATCAAAAACATACCTGGAGTTGTGTTTTGTTTTAGTTGCACATGTTCCAGTAATCCTTTATTATTAGTCTGTCTACATCTCCAAGGCTTAAAATGCTCTATTCCAACTTGTGAAGTAGTTTTCAAATTAACAGCTACCTTTTACCTTTTATTCAGAGATGGGCAATAACAGAAAACTCAACTCCAGGAATATTTTTGGTGAGGAAACAACATTATAATATAGATCAGAAAATAGTTTAATATGGGGCCTTTAAAATAACAAAAAAAAAAGGTTTGGAAACAGGGCTGCAAAACACATAAACCCTTACGATCCTAGCCATTACCATGCTGTTGCAGTACAGTACAGTACAGTCTGTTTAATAAGCATGGATCAAACTTACTATTGGTGACAACTCCTTCCAGCCTGATGATGTTTGTACAGCTAAACTGACCCATGATTGACGCTTCTCGCAGGAAGTCCCGCCTCTGCTGTTCTGAATATCCACCTTTGAGTGTTTTTATTGCCACAGGAATGTCCATTCGGCCCGGTAACCGCAGGCGCCCACTGCACACCTCTCCAAACTCACCTGGGAAATTAATGAAAAGAAAAGTCAATATTAGGAAGATAATAACTATGGCAATTATACATTTTTTTTTTTTTACAATAATCTGGTGATACACAGAGTCTGTATTTCCTGTTACTACTAGTGAAATACAAGTCTTTAACTGCTATAACAAAAAAAACTGCTTGCCTCCAGGAAAGTACTACTTAAAGAGAATACAAATATTTCAGATGGGTAGATGTAGGTATTTTAATATGACCCTCAAGAAAGTTCATATGGCTTATTTTTATTTGATTAAAAGTGCCCTTTATGCCCTTTGTAATTATAATGTATGGGCTTCTATGTCCAAGTGATTTCCCTTGTACATCAGTAAAGTTCGTCTGTTTCAAGGAGCATTGCAATTACATATTCATCCCAGTAGATGGAGCCCACACTACAAAAACCTTGTGTATAAAGGGCACCTTTGAAATCATTT